GATCATGGNCGTGTCACTGTATTACATGTGTGTGTGTATATATATGTGTGTGTGTGTATGAAATTTTAAAATTCAAATGATACACAAATATCAAAAAGAATTTTGAAAGTCTCACATTCAAGTAGATATACACTATTTATGGCAGGGGTAATTATAGAATACATTTTAGAAAGAATTTAAAAATATTTTAAAATGTGTACTTATTAACAACTATTTGATGAAAAAGAGAACTTAAAAAGATAAGTTTAAAGGTGGTACTTAAAGCCAAATAAATTTTAAAAACGGTACTCACATCCCATAATCTCATAATTTAATGTCCTTATGCACTCCATGGCCCATCTCAACTAGGAGTAAATATTGAATGCAACGGTGATACCATATCACCAACTAATAATAAAATACTAAATGAGAAAGGTGAATGTTACTTGGGCTTACATGGTAGAAGAGTGGGGAGTTATTTGCTTAAAAGCAGATTAGTTATTAATTTTTGTGGCGTCTATCTGTTTATTTCTTTTATTATTATTAATTGATGATATTACATCACCTCACCACATGTATCACCGTTGTAACGAATATTTTATCCTCAACTAGGTGGTTGTAATGCAGCTGTCTACGTACATGCAAAAGTCCTTTGACCCATTTGACATGGGACAGATAGCGACCATAAATTAATGACTTAATTGTGTATGATGTCAATAAAATTAAGTCGTATTAAAATTACAGTAGTTTGAATTTTTGTCCATACTTCATACTTCCAACCAAAACTTTCATATGTATGTCTCCATAAAGAAAATACCCACCCTACATGATTGTCGATTGCCACAGCTATCGAAAACTTTCTTTTTTTTTTTCATTTACTGATTTACTCTCATAAAATTATGGTCTTTTTCGCACTTTATATCTTGAAAATTTTCAAATTTTTTACTTTGCACACTCAAATATTAAATTTTTAATATTATATTTTCAATGTATAAAAATTTTTATAATATGATCATTCTGTTAGTTTCTATTATTTTTTTCATCAAAAGTCAATTTATTTACACAGACAAAAAACTAATGGAAAGCTAACCGAAAAGCAAACGCGCTTCAAAGCAATTTGAGACCTAAAGAAAATATACTAAATGAGGCCTTTTTATTTTTTGTACTAAATTTTTTTTTAAAAAGTAATTTATTTTTAATTTTGTATGTGTGTGAGAGAGAGTGGAGAAGGTAAATATGAATTGATTTTTGAGTATTTTTTTTATTTTTTAACTTCTGATTGTTAAGTTTCTAATATTTCAGATTGGATCATGAGCCTAAATTATTGCAACAAAAATTTTGATTGGACTTAATTTTTTAGGAATTTTTTTAGGTCTTAAAATTAAATAGATTTAATTTTTTTTTGTGGATTAGTAATTGACCTAAAATTATAGAACCTACTAAAAATTTGGGGCGGCTTTATTTTCCAAACTGTTGAGCCGGTTACAAAAGATAAAAATATTTTAATATTTTTTGATATATTGAGGATGTAATATAAAAAATTTAATTTTTTAAAAAATAAAATAAAAAATTTTAAATCTTTCATCTATTAAAGTACAAAATAAAATTCACCCTAAAATTATTGTGGACTTAAATGTCATCTCTTGTATCTTTTTCCTTGCATTAATTGCTGACAAGGTTGAAACCAAAGCGAAGGATCCACCACTCTTGCGTGTAGACAGGGTTGCACAAGGCGGTACCAAAAGAATCTCAATAATTTAAGGTCCTTGCCTACTCCATGGCCCATCTCTGGTGGCTTTAATACTGTTGTCTACGTACAAAAGTTTTATGAGACTCACACGGGGCAGATAGGGATTGTAAATTATTGACGGTAATTTGTATTTGAAGGTAAGGTAAAATACGAATGAATTTAAGAGGGATGTAGATGATCATTAGATAAATTTATTGGGAACTGTCGAATAATTTTATTGACTCTTATCATATTTTATATTTTAAATTGTATATAGTATCAATAAAGTCGCGTTATATTAAAATTAGATTAATAGGGTCACAATTACAATCCAATGCAATTCAAATACTTCGGATCAATCCTAAAGAGTTGGGATTTGTCCCAAGCTTTTGCGATCAATACTAAATCAACCAATTGAACCGTCAATAAACTTGTTCGAATTGCAATTTGATATGATTAAATTGTAATTACAAAATACTATTGTTGAAAAATCCTTTCCCTTTTTTTTTTTCTCGGTAAATTAGATTGTCCCTTTTTTTTTTTCCTTACCTTTTTTCAAATATTAGACATGAATTTCTCAAAGTAATCGCCACCTACCCAAACATTAGTCGACACACTACAAGAATTTATACTTTTAACCACAAAATTTAGATTGTAATTAAAAATATTGACACTAAATACATATGTTCAAGGACCAAAAACTATTATGTCATTAAAAGTATGATTTGAAATTATTTAGTGGCATATGGTTTCTTATCTGTAAAGATATCATAAGTCTTGATGTCACTTCGTCTGTTGAAATTACTTTAACGTGGGATGACAACTGACAAAAAAAAATAAAAATTATCCTTATCGACTAATTGGAGAAAATTTATACCATTCAAAGCAACTTAGACAGACTACATAGTATGAAATACTTACTATGAAGTTTACAAGAATGTAGATATGGTCATTAAACAAGGACGTATCATTCTACAATAAAAGTTTTAATCAAGTTGAATTTTTCGAGTTTGAATTTGTTCAAATTCAATTTGAAGGCGATTGACTGAGCTCAAACTCGACTGTTAAACTAAAATTCTTGCTCAAACGCAACTTGGTAGAAGCTTACAAATAGTCGAGCCAAACTCGAGATGAAATTGTGCTCAATTTCATAGCAAAATTTCCTAAAAATCAATGCTAGAATAATCAATTTCTCATTTAGATTCTCCCCAAATCTATACAATAGCCTATAAAATCAAATCCTAGAATTTCAGACAAGTGTGTAAAGTTTAGTATTATTTGATGATAAGTTGAGAGTTAATCATCTTTCCCATAACGATTGTCTAAAAATTGAGTTAAAATTATTTATAGATAGAAACCTAATTGCGTTGAACTACGTGGTACTTAATTGAACTTGTTCAACAAAAACAAGCTTAAAAATTATATAAAATTCAGTTCAATTTATAATTTGAACAAATCTAAGTGAACCGAGTTTGAGTCAAACTCGAGTTGCTTGGATCCTTTAACTGTCCAATTCCAAGATACCCATGTTGTACAAATATATATACATTGCGAAATGGTTTTAGCTAGATTTTGAAGTTAAGTCAGATCTCTCTGTAGTTCTAAAGGCTAAAACAATGGTGTTGATATATCCTCTTGTTGTCCACTCAGTATGGTGTTAATTTAATTTTGTAATCAATTTAGCAATATTTTTTATTCTCAATTAATAAATTATTATATCATGTAGAGGAAAAAGGAAAAAAAAAAAAAAAGAAGAAGGACAGAAGTTTCTCTCTTCATCGCATACATAGACTTTCAGGCCTTAATCAGTGTTGAAACCCACTTGCCCTGGCGAGTGTTTTGCTTCTGAACATTTTGTGATAGTTGTGGCTACAGCCTCCATGGGAAGCTGTGGTTGAATGGTCCGTAGAGCATAATCCAAATGCATTCAGGCCAAAGATTGTCGGTAGTCCACAGTGCAAATGCATGGATGTTGCAGACAGCTAAAGATGTTAGGATTGCGACTGACAGGTTTTGGCCTATTTGCAATCAATGTAGATTCATTTAGTTTTATTTTGGGATTTAATCCGAAATTTCTTAATTTGGTGCTGAGATTAATACATTCACTACCAAATGGAGATTTTTATTTTTTCTGAGATTATGGATTATGAATTGGAATTTATTGATTTGATGGGATCACTAGAAGGAATGATTCATGAATCAATAAGATCAAATTACAATTCAACAAGACCAAAGTTACGATCCAATCCAATGAAGTTCAAACACTTGGCATCGATCCTAAAGAGTTGGAATTAATCCCAAGCTTTTTTTGATCAATCCTAAATCAACCCATTGAGTCATCGCTAAACTTGTTTGAGTTGTACCTTGATATGATGAAGTTGTAATTACAAAATGTTGTCGTTGAAAAATCTCTTCCCTTTTTTTTTTTTTTTTTTCTGATGCAGCAATAATGAGAGCACACGAAGTGATGTCCGCCTCTAAGTGTAAGGAACAAGAATACTCTGAATCCACGTATAAAAGCAAAGGAATAATTTTGAAAAGATGTATTATTAATTGAATATTTCGTATTAGATAGAACAATATATAAAGAAATTGAAAAAATATTAATCATTCCCAGAATAATCAACTTTTCTTTAAGAGTCTCCCCAAATCTCTGCGATAATCTATAAAATCATAACCTAGAATTTTACAAAATAAAAAATCTCTTTGAGTGAAGATATAGGGGCGTGTATGGTCTCGAACTATTTGGTGATAAGTGGGGAGCTAATCGGTTTAGGAATCTAATTGAGTTGAACAAACGTTATTTAATTCAACTTTTTCAAATAACAAATTTAAAAATCATATAAAATTCAAGTCAAATTTATAATTTGAACGAACCCATAAAGGACTGAGCTCAAGTCAATCTCGAGTTGTTTAGATCTTTTAACAGTTCATTTCTAGGACACCCTTGTTGTACATAAATAATTTTTTTTTTTTGTTTTTTGCAAAAAAAATTTTGTCAATTAATTTTTTAAACATTGCTGAAACACAAGTGAAAAATAGTATTGCTATATCTGTGTATCACCTAACTATATAGGAAAAAGGAAAAGGAAAAACACAAAGGACAAAAGTTATTACAGTATTCTATCTAACAAATAATAATATATTCCTCTGTTGAAAAAATACACCTTTTTTTTTCTTTCATCGCACTGACCTTCAGGTGGCCTTAATCGCACTGACCATCCTTCACACACCTCTATTTTCTCTCGGTGTTCCTCTTGTTCCTAATCCATCTCCCAAAATCGAAAACAAAATGGCTATTGCAGAAGTTTTTCTGGGCGCGTTTTTAGCTGTGCTATTCGAGAGATTGGCCTCTCGCGAGCTGTTGAGCTTTGTTCGCAGCGCCCGAATTCATACCCAGGTGATGACATTGCTCAAAGTGTTGAGTACTATTAAAGAGTTGCTCAACGATGCAGAGACTAAGCAAATAACTAACGAAACTGTGAATCTGTGGCTGGAGGATCTGAGGGATCTGGCTTACGATATGGATGATCTTGTGGACGAGATCGAGACAGAAGCTTTGGCCCATAAATTGAAGACGGAGACCGAACCAGCAGCTACCACAGGCAAGGTGAAGGTACTGAACTTCCTATCTACTTCTTTGACTGATTTCCGTAGATCTATTGAGCTAAAATTCAAGTTCGGGTCCAAGATTAAGCAGATCACTCTCAGATTACAAGAAATGGCACAACTGAGAGATGATCTGGGTTTGACAGCTACTCCGGAAGCAGGGTCAAGCAAAAGCAGAGAGAGATTGGAAACAACTTCCTTGGTGGTTGAATCCCATGTCTATGGTCGGGAAAAGGAAAAAAAAGAAATACTTGAATTGGTGCTCAAGGATGAATCGANGGATTAGTAATTGACCTAAAATTATAGAACCTACTAAAAATTTGGGGCGGCTTTATTTTCCAAACTGTTGAGCCGGTTACAAAAGAATTATATTTTAATATTTTTGATATATTGAGGATGTAATATAAAAAATTTAAATTTTTAAATCATTCATCTATTAAAGTACAAAATACAATTCACCCTAAAATCATTGTGGACTTAAATGTCATCTCTTATATCTTTTTCCTTGCATTAATTGTTGACAAGGTTGAAACCAAAGCGAAGGATCCACCACTCTTGCGTGTAGACAGGGTTGCACAAGGCGGTACCAAAAGAATCTCAATAATTTAAGGTCCTTGCCTACTCCATGGCCCATCTCTGGTGGCTTTAATACTGTTGTCTACGTACAAAAGTTTTATGAGACTCACACGGGGCAGATAGGGATTGTAAATTATTGACGGTAATTTGTATTTGAAGGTAAGGTAAAATACGAATGAATTTAAGAGGGATGTAGATGATCATTAGATAAATTTATTGGGAACTGTCGAATAATTTTATTGACTCTTATCATATTTTATATTTTAAATTGTATATAGTATCAATAAAGTCGCGTTATATTAAAATTAGATTAATAGGGTCACAATTACAATCCAATGCAATTCAAATACTTCGGATCAATCCTAAAGAGTTGGGATTTGTCCCAAGCTTTTGCGATCAATACTAAATCAACCAATTGAACCGTCAATAAACTTGTTCGAATTGCAATTTGATATGATTAAATTGTAATTACAAAATACTATTGTTGAAAAATCCTTTCCCTTTTTTTTTTTCTCGGTAAATTAGATTGTCCCTTTTTTTTTTTCCTTACCTTTTTTCAAATATTAGACATGAATTTCTCAAAGTAATCGCCACCTACCCAAACATTAGTCGACACACTACAAGAATTTATACTTTTAACCACAAAATTTAGATTGTAATTAAAAATATTGACACTAAATACATATGTTCAAGGACCAAAAACTATTATGTCATTAAAAGTATGATTTGAAATTATTTAGTGGCATATGGTTTCTTATCTGTAAAGATATCATAAGTCTTGATGTCACTTCGTCTGTTGAAATTACTTTAACGTGGGATGACAACTGACAAAAAAAAATAAAAATTATCCTTATCGACTAATTGGAGAAAATTTATACCATTCAAAGCAACTTAGACAGACTACATAGTATGAAATACTTACTATGAAGTTTACAAGAATGTAGATATGGTCATTAAACAAGGACGTATCATTCTACAATAAAAGTTTTAATCAAGTTGAATTTTTCGAGTTTGAATTTGTTCAAATTCAATTTGAAGGCGATTGACTGAGCTCAAACTCGACTGTTAAACTAATATTCTTGCTCAAACGCAACTTGGTAGAAGCTTACAAATAGTCGAGCCAAACTCGAGATGAAATTGTGCTCAATTTCATAGCAAAATTTCCTAAAAATCAATGCTAGAATAATCAATTTCTCATTTAGATTCTCCCCAAATCTATACAATAGCCTATAAAATCAAATCCTAGAATTTCAGACAAGTGTGTAAAGTTTAGTATTATTTGATGATAAGTTGAGAGTTAATCATCTTTCCCATAACGATTGTCTAAAAATTGAGTTAAAATTATTTATAGATAGAAACCTAATTGCGTTGAACTACGTGGTACTTAATTGAACTTGTTCAACAAAAACAAGCTTAAAAATTATATAAAATTCAGTTCAATTTATAATTTGAACAAATCTAAGTGAACCGAGTTTGAGTCAAACTCGAGTTGCTTGGATCCTTTAACTGTCCAATTCCAAGATACCCATGTTGTACAAATATATATACATTGCGAAATGGTTTTAGCTAGATTTTGAAGTTAAGTCAGATCTCTCTGTAGTTCTAAAGGCTAAAACAATGGTGTTGATATATCCTCTTGTTGTCCACTCAGTATGGTGTTAATTTAATTTTGTAATCAATTTAGCAATATTTTTTATTCTCAATTAATAAATTATTATATCATGTAGAGGAAAAAGGAAAAAAAAAAAAAAAGAAGAAGGACAGAAGTTTCTCTCTTCATCGCATACATAGACTTTCAGGCCTTAATCAGTGTTGAAACCCACTTGCCCTGGCGAGTGTTTTGCTTCTGAACATTTTGTGATAGTTGTGGCTACAGCCTCCATGGGAAGCTGTGGTTGAATGGTCCGTAGAGCATAATCCAAATGCATTCAGGCCAAAGATTGTCGGTAGTCCACAGTGCAAATGCATGGATGTTGCAGACAGCTAAAGATGTTAGGATTGCGACTGACAGGTTTTGGCCTATTTGCAATCAATGTAGATTCATTTAGTTTTATTTTGGGATTTAATCCGAAATTTCTTAATTTGGTGCTGAGATTAATACATTCACTACCAAATGGAGATTTTTATTTTTTCTGAGATTATGGATTATGAATTGGAATTTATTGATTTGATGGGATCACTAGAAGGAATGATTCATGAATCAATAAGATCAAATTACAATTCAACAAGACCAAAGTTACGATCCAATCCAATGAAGTTCAAACACTTGGCATCGATCCTAAAGAGTTGGAATTAATCCCAAGCTTTTTTTGATCAATCCTAAATCAACCCATTGAGTCATCGCTAAACTTGTTTGAGTTGTACCTTGATATGATGAAGTTGTAATTACAAAATGTTGTCGTTGAAAAATCTCTTCCCTTTTTTTTTTTTTTTTTTTCTGATGCAGCAATAATGAGAGCACACGAAGTGATGTCCGCCTCTAAGTGTAAGGAACAAGAATACTCTGAATCCACGTATAAAAGCAAAGGAATAATTTTGAAAAGATGTATTATTAATTGAATATTTCGTATTAGATAGAACAATATATAAAGAAATTGAAAAAATATTAATCATTCCCAGAATAATCAACTTTTCTTTAAGAGTCTCCCCAAATCTCTGCGATAATCTATAAAATCATAACCTAGAATTTTACAAAATAAAAAATCTCTTTGAGTGAAGATATAGGGGCGTGTATGGTCTCGAACTATTTGGTGATAAGTGGGGAGCTAATCGGTTTAGGAATCTAATTGAGTTGAACAAACGTTATTTAATTCAACTTTTTCAAATAACAAATTTAAAAATCATATAAAATTCAAGTCAAATTTATAATTTGAACGAACCCATAAAGGACTGAGCTCAAGTCAATCTCGAGTTGTTTAGATCTTTTAACAGTTCATTTCTAGGACACCCTTGTTGTACATAAATAATTTTTTTTTTTTGTTTTTTGCAAAAAAAATTTTGTCAATTAATTTTTTAAACATTGCTGAAACACAAGTGAAAAATAGTATTGCTATATCTGTGTATCACCTAACTATATAGGAAAAAGGAAAAGGAAAAACACAAAGGACAAAAGTTATTACAGTATTCTATCTAACAAATAATAATATATTCCTCTGTTGAAAAAATACACCTTTTTTTTTCTTTCATCGCACTGACCTTCAGGTGGCCTTAATCGCACTGACCATCCTTCACACACCTCTATTTTCTCTCGGTGTTCCTCTTGTTCCTAACCCATCTCCCAAAATCGAAAACAAAATGGCTATTGCAGAAGTTTTTCTGGGCGCGTTTTTAGCTGTGCTATTCGAGAGATTGGCCTCTCGCGAGCTGTTGAGCTTTGTTCGCAGCGCCCGAATTCATACCCAGGTGATGACATTGCTCAAAGTGTTGAGTACTATTAAAGAGTTGCTCAACGATGCAGAGACTAAGCAAATAACTAACGAAACTGTGAATCTGTGGCTGGAGGATCTGAGGGATCTGGCTTACGATATGGATGATCTTGTGGACGAGATCGAGACAGAAGCTTTGGCCCATAAATTGAAGACGGAGACCGAACCAGCAGCTACCACAGGCAAGGTGAAGGTACTGAACTTCCTATCTACTTCTTTGACTGATTTCCGTAGATCTATTGAGCTAAAATTCAAGTTCGGGTCCAAGATTAAGCAGATCACTCTCAGATTACAAGAAATGGCACAACTGAGAGATGATCTGGGTTTGACAGCTACTCCGGAAGCAGGGTCAAGCAAAAGCAGAGAGAGATTGGAAACAACTTCCTTGGTGGTTGAATCCCATGTCTATGGTCGGGAAAAGGAAAAAAAAGAAATACTTGAATTGGTGCTCAAGGATGAATCGAATAATGATGAAGCACGTGTCATTCCAATAGTTGGTATGGGTGGTGTGGGCAAGACCACTCTTGCTCAACTTGTCTACAATGATGAGAAGGTTAAGGATTTCTTTGATACGAAAGCATGGGTGTGTGTTTCTGAAGAGTTCGATGTATTCATGATAACCAAGATTATTTGTCAGGCGGTGACCAAGGAAAGATGTGACTTCAGCGACCTCAACATGTTGCAAGTGAGTCTCAAAAAGGNAGAGTTCGATGTATTCATGATAACCAAGATTATTTGTCAGGCGGTGACCAAGGAAAGTTGTGACTTCAGCGACCTCAACATGTTGCAAGTGAGTCTCAAAAAGGAACTTTCTCGAAGAAAATTTCTTATTGTTTTGGATGATGTTTGGAATGAGAACTACCAAGATTGGGATCGCCTCCGTGCTCCTTTTTTAGTTGGGCTAACTGGAAGTAAAATTATTGTTACGACTCGGAATGAAGGTGTTGCACGGATCATGGGTTCTGTGCCTTCTTACCCACTGAATGTTTTGGCAGAAGACGATTGTTTGTCTTTGTTGGCTCAACATTCATTGGGCAAAACAAATTTTGTTGACCATCCAAATTTGGGTTTAATTGGCAAGGATATAGTCAGAAGGTGTGGACGTTTGCCTTTGGCAGCAAAGACACTAGGAGGCCTTCTGCGTAATATACATAGCCCAGATGAGTGGAAAGGTATACTGAATAGCCAAATCTGGGAGTTAGAAGAGCACAAGAGTCGCATTCTTCCAGCTCTCAGATTAAGCTATCACCATCTCCCTTCTGAGTTGAAGCAAATGTTTGCATATTGTGCTATATTTCCAAAGGACTACGAGTTTGAAATGGATGAGTTAGTTTTGTTATGGATGGCAGAAGGATTTCTGCAGCAATCAGAAGAAATGGAAGTGTTAGGGGGACAGTGTTTCATGGAGCTATTATCAAGGTCCTTCTTCCAACGTTCAGGTGGCACGGAATCAAAATTTGTGATGCATGACCTTTTGAATGATCTAGCTCAATATGTTGCAGGAGAAACATGCTTTAGGTTGGATGATAATATGGAGGGAAATGAATGGTGTAAGATTTCTAAAAAAGCTTGCCACTCATCATTCAATCGCCACCCATACGAGGTCTATAAAAGATTCAAGCCATTTCATGAATTTCGTGGTTTGCGGACTTTCATACCGCTTCCAATTTATTTGTCAGATGGCCACCCCAACATGTATTTAAGCAATAGCGTTTTGGTCAAGCTACTACCAAACTTACGGTACTTAAGAGTCTTATCTTTGAGTGGGTACTTAATAAGTAAGCTACCCAACTCAATTGGAGATTTGAAGCATCTTCGGTACCTTAATTTATCTCAGACGTTGATTGAATCGTTGCCCAAATCAGTGAGTACTCTCTACAATTTACAGACACTATCATTAAGAAATTGTTTGGAACTTCGTAAGTTGCCCACAAACATCGGAAATTTGGTGAACCTGCGCCATCTTGACATTCGAAATACTCCAAATTTAAAAGAGATGCCCCCAAGTATTGGAAATTTGGTGAACCTACGCCATCTTGGCATTCGAGATACTCCAAATTTAAAAGAGATGCCTTCGGGGATCAGTAGATTGAAATGTTTACAAACATTGTCAAGGATTATTGTTGGCAAAAATAATGGATTTGGACTCGAAAATTTGAGTGGCTTATCGCTTCTAAGAAGTAAGCTTTCCATTGAAGGGCTAGAAAATGTTACAAAATTGCAGGAAGCAGAGAAGGCCAATTTAAGTTGTAAGCAGTATCTTAATGAGTTGGAATTCAAATGGAATCGTAACATTGAAGATTCTCAAAATGAAGGGCTACAGGTTAGTGTGTTGGGCATGCTACGACCACATAGAGAATTGAAAAGTCTTAGAATTGAATTCTACAGGGGCAGTGCATTTCCTAGTTGGATTGGGGATCCGTCATTCTCTAAAACAGTGTGCATTAGTCTCACAGGTTGTACAAAATGCATGGATTTACCACCACTTGGCCAACTACCCTTGCTCAAAGAACTCTACATAGAAGACATGCATGCCGTAGAAAGTGTGGGTGTAAAGTTCTATTGCAGTGGTAGCACTTTGGAGATTCCATTTCCCTCGCTCGAGATTCTGCGGTTTGACAAGATGCCAAAATGGAAGGAATGGTCTTTTTCTTATGGTGTTGATTTTAGAGGACTTTTCCCTTGCCTTCGTGAGCTTTCTATATGCAATTGTCCTAAACTGGTGAGTCTTCCACACTTCAGCCTTCCCTCTCTTCTTGATTTAATCATAAAATATTGTGACGGGGCGATGTTGAAAAGTTTCACTGGATTATCCTCATTAACCAAATTGGAAATTAGGAGTATGTCAGGACTAACTCATTTGCCGAAGGAGTTCACAAATGGGTTGGTGTCACTTAAAGTTCTTGAAATTGAAGGTTGTGCCACGTTGGTGACTTTGTGGCAGAATGGGTTTGCACCAGAATACCTTTCGAGTTTGCAACGGCTAAAGGTCTACAAATGTCCTCTACTTGAGCAACTGTTAGATAAAGATCAAAGGCTACCTTGTAATCTTGAAAGATTGGATTTAAAGTTGTGTCAAAATCTGGAGAGGTTGCCTGATGGACTAAAAAGCCATACATCTCTCACGGAGGTGGATATCAGCGACTGCCAAACGCTTGTTTGTTTTCCAGAGGACAGTCTCCCGCCCAAGCTTAGTCATCTTTGCGTTACAAACTCCTTTTCTCTGGAGTTCATCCCTAATTGCATCAGTCGTCTTGAAGTGTTGCGGCTCAGGAATTGCTCGTCTCTGAGATCCTTGCCGACAGACACTCGTATCTCCACGCTTAAGCATGTTCTCATCTGCTGCGGGAATTTGGAGTGGCTTAAAGAGATGGTCAAACAGAGCATAAGCTTTGGGATCAGTAATTGGCCCAATTTGGAGAGTTTTACAGTACAGGTGCCGAAGTTTACAGTACAGGTGCCGGAGTTTACGGAACAGGTGCCGGAGTTTACAGAACAGGTGCCAGATTTTGAATGTGAGTTGAAGTATCAAATCGACCACTCGCTCTCAGGAAGTGGTTTGCTCACTCCCAACCTAACAAGTCTTGACATCTCTAAGTTTGAAAATCTCTTTTCCTTCCCTAGCGAAAGTCAAAGCCTCGCATTCCTCAAAAAACTCAAGATAGCGGACTGTCAAAGTCTTGAGTCATTTCCTGACCAAAATTTGCCCCCCAACCTAGAAGAGCTATATATCTCCAATTGCAAAGAACTTAAGCCTCTATCAGAGTGTGGCCTACAAAGTCTCTCCTCTCTTCGGCGTTTCACCCTGCACAGTGTATATCCAACGCTAACTTCCTTTCCGGACTCATGTTTTCTTCCTGCTACTCTAAAATTCCTTCGTATTGACGAATTCTCAAATCTCAAGTCTCTCTCAAAGGGCCTCCAAAACTTGGCCTCTCTTGAGAAACTAGAAATTTCCAATTGCCCAGAGCTCGAGTCTCTCTCTGAGGGGCTCCAAAACCTGACCACTATTAGGTTTATGGACATCATTAATTGCCCTAAGATTAAGTCTCTCTCTGAGGGGCTCCGAGACTTGACCTCTCTTGAGCATCTGACAATCTGCGATTGCCCTGAGCTTGAGTCTCTCTTTGAGGAGTTCCAGAAGCTGACTGCTCTTACGAATCTGAAAATCTGCGATTGCCCTAAACTTAAGTCTCTCTTTGAGGGGTTCCAGAAGCTGACCTCTCTTCAGCATCTGATAATCAGAAGTTGCTACATGCCGGGTTCCTTGCTGAACGAAACGATACTTGACACACTTTCAAGTCTGATCAAAGAAAACTGCCCACTTCTTGAAGCTCAGTTTTTCAAGGAGAAAGGAGTTGATTGGCCCAAGATCGCTCACATCCCCGTAGTTAATATTATTTCTAACAGGTACCATCCACGTTGCATTTCTTTCCTTATGATCTCCGTGCCCCTGTTTTATATATATATATATATATATATATATATATATATTTTTGGCTGGCATCCTCTGTTTTGACGTTGCATTTTTTTGCTTCTGTTTTCAATTTGTTTTAATCACGTCTATGCCTATAAAGACAAAAAGGGCAACTTACATTTAGCGCCCCAATATTATGACCCAAATCTCATTTCGGCCCTCTATAATAAATTTTGTCATATTTCCCTATATTAATTGGTTTCATTAACATGGCTGCAAATCCCAATGACTGATAACTCATGGATGAAAATTGACTAAGTTGCATGCTACTTTATTGCTGCAAAATTCAGTGGTTTTTATGCATTCCCATCTAAAGCAAAATGAACCTTTGGATTATGTGAAACTAGTTCATGTAGTTAAAAGTTCAATGGGAAAAATACCAATAGTAGAAATTGTAGTCATGATTTATAAGCGTAATCTCTCCCATTGAAACCAAACTAAGACTCATTTTGATATGTGTTCACCTATCGTTCAACGCCACTAAACTTCCTGCTTTGCGTTGATGTTTACAGGACACCAGACCCTGTTTGTGATCTAGAGCAAATTGTAGTCATGAAACCAGACCTGTTTTGATGGGCAACTTTCTTATGTGCCAACCACAGATGATTTCGGTTTGACTTGTTCTTGTTAAATGTTTTCCTGCCATTTTTTCCCTCTTTATATTTTGTATTTCCATGTATTATATTATTGTCTAAGAGTGCACTAGTTGCTTCTAATTTATACTAGGATATGTAACCGCGAACTTTTTTTGTTTTTTTTTTTAATTCTGTTTTTGTTTTTGGGTGAGTTGCCAACTTCATGCTGTAAATGATTGGTATTAAGTTTAGCTATGAGATTGAAAGTCAAAAACTTATGAAGGATTTTGCACATTTGTCCGATGGGGATTGTAATTTGACTATTCCTTGGTTAGCGAGTGAGCTAATAGCAAAGCTTTTGTGATCTTTGGAACTATTATTTGTTTGTTGTCGTTGAAAGAGATTATAAATATGTAAATAGAAATGTGCATATAAAAAAATTAAAATGTTATTTGGAACTAATTTAAGGATCTAATTCAATATAACTATTGAATTGGTTGTGANTTGTTGTCGTTGAAAGAGATTATAAATATGTAAATAGAAATGTGCATATAAAAAAATGAAAATGTTATTTGGAACTAATTTAAGGATCTAATTCAATATAACTATTAGATTGGTTGTGGGCTTCATTTAACATTAGAACTCACAACTAATCCAATGATTATATTGAAACCACATTATTAAGTCCTTAAATTAAGTTCTCAAATAAAGTCCCTATAACATTGCTCATAAAAAAAAAGAGAGAAGAATTAGACAAACAATGCGACGAATAATATGGTTTACAAGAAATTTATTGTTGTATTGTATAGAGTTGTTGATCATCCTTAGTCTATATAGGGTGTACTTATCTAACTGACCATACAAATTTTTTTGGGTCAAATTGTCAGCATATTGTATTGATTTATATCTTTATTTTTTAGCAAATATTGATTTATATCTAAATAATGNAATTGGTTGTGAGCTTCATTTAACATTAGAACTCACAACTAATCCAATGATTATATTGAAACCACATTATTAAGTCCTTAAATTAAGTTCTCAAATAAGGTCCCTATAACATTGCTCATAAAAAAAAAAAAAGAAGAATTAGACAAACAATGACGAATAATATGGTTTACAAGAAATTTATTGTTGTATTGTATAGAGTTGTTGATCATCCTTAGTCTATATAGGGTGTACTTATCTAACTGACCATACAAATTTTTTTGGGTCAAATTGTCAGCATATTGTATTGATTTATATCTTTATTTTTTAGCAAATATTGATTTATATCTAAATAATGTTTGTTAAGATAACGGATTCAAGGATTCATNTTTTTGAGCAAATATTGATTTATATCTAAATAATGTTTGTTGAGATAACGGATTCAAGGATTCATCCAAGTTACAAGCTTCACTACAATCCTCTCAGGTAGAGGTGACAATTTTAACTAATTATCTATTAATTCATCAAATCCGTCATAAATTAATGGGTTGGGTAATATTATTCATTTTAATTAAGCGGGTTAATATGGATTACAAATGGGTATCTATTGGGTTGAGTATTTATCTTTTTATTAAATAATACAAGTAATAAAATTAAATAAATATATTAATATATTAAAAAATACACATNTACTTATCTAACTGACCATACAAATTTTTTTGGGTCAAATTGTCAGCATATTGTATTGATTTATATCTTTATTTTTGAGCAAATATTGATTTATATCTAAATAATGTTTGTTGAGATAACGGATTCAAGGATTCATCCAAGTTACAAGCTTCACTACAATCCTCTCAGGTAGAGGTGACAATTTTAACTAATTATCTATTAATTCATCAAATCCGTCATAAATTAATGGGTTGGGTAATATTATTCATTTTAATTAAGCGGGTTAATATGGATTACAAATGATTATCTATTGAGTTGAGTATTTATCTTTTTATTAAATAATACAAGTAATAAAATTAAATAAATATATTAAAAAATACATATACTATTATACCAAAAAATACACACATGTACACTAATAAACTAAAATATACACATACTACTACACCAAAAACACAAACTAATACACTACTCATGACCCACGGCCAATANATCACAAAGGCTTCCTTCATGAAGAACCTTGTTCAAATCTACATTGATTTGAACGTGACTAAGAAATTTACATATTCCATATTGTCTTTTTAGAGAAACATAGACAGTGGCACAATCTCATTTCTTTTTGAAGCCTGNTAGGTCGATCCATGACCCGTGGGTTGATCCATAATCCATGGGTCGACTCGTGACCCACGTATCGACCCATGAGCCACGACATGACCCGTGACTCATGGATCGACCCACNTAAACTAAAATATACACATACTACTACACCAAAAACACAAACTAATACACTACTCATGACCCACGGCCAATAGGTCGATCCATGACCCGTGGGTTGATCCATAATCCATGGGTCGACTCGTGACCCATGTATCGATCCATGAGCCACGACTTGACCCGTGACTCATGGATCGACCCATNATTCTTCCATTTAGTTTTAACTAGTTAATGTACCTGTGCATTTCATGTGAACTATTTTGAGTTATTATTTTGATTTTTGTTTTCAGTGTACACGAGGGTACAAAACGAAGACTTGAAGACACTANTTGACCCGTGACTCATGGATCGACCCATGACCCCTATGGGTTAACTCATAACCCACATCACCCGACCCATTATTTGTGTATTTTTTTAATTAAATGTATTTTAATTTTTGTATTAGAATATGTGTATGTATTTTTGGTGTATTAGTGTGTGTGTATACTTGTATTTTAGTGTACTACTAATGTGTGTGTGTGTGTGCGCTTTGATGTACTAATGTGTCTATTAAAAATTTTAATTATTTTATGGGTTAATCGGCTTAACTCAATCCGTTATAAACCCAACTTATTATAACCCATTTACTACATGAGTGAAAAATAAATTGAATTTATTTTAACCCAATCTAATTTAATCCAACCCAATCCACCCATTTCCCACCTCTACTCCCAGGTTGTTGAAAGGTATACGTTGCAATTTGCACTTCATAACTTCACAAAGAGCCTGTCAGTTTTCTGGAAATTCACAACATCAAAGCAAGTTCTAAATACTTGTTTGTCTCTCACTCTCTTTCTCCCAATTCCTTATGCGTTTGTGTTATACATTTATTTACACCTAAAGTTTATCATGAAACCCGGCTTTTCATGAAGGAGAGCCCATTAATATTTATAACAATGGCCTCAATTGTATGCACAATGAATTGTTCTGTTATCTGAGTGCCTGGTGGCTAGAGATAAATACATTCAACAAAGACCACTTGTAACATTGGCATCAGAATTTCACCAACAACTCTACATAAAAGGTTTCTAAGTTTATTTCTTTCACATAAAAATGTAGTACCAACTGATAATTACATTTATTTACTTGGTGAGAATATAAGCGAAGTAAAGAATCATTGAAGGTTTTTGTCCAACAATCCATATAAGAGACCATACCAAAGAAACTTTTGGAAATTCATTGAAGTACTTAGACATGAAAGCATTACAGATAGGAAGATGCAAAGCTTACCAATTCATTCTCCCTCATTGGTTCCCTAGCTCTAGATTTGAAACTTCATCATTAACAATCTCAATACTCTCAGTTCTTTTGTATTCCCTTTTTAGTTTTGACTGCAGCATGTGAAAACATGAGTAAGAATCAAAAAACCCAAGAGAGAGAGAGAGCAACATAAGAACTAATGATGAGGGAAGGACTATGGTAGACAGAAGTGTTCATGAAGTTGACAACATGAATTTCTGTATCCTAGTTTCGAATTTTCTTTAGTATATGTTATTGCTATATGACATGTTTTCTTCCTTGGTATAGACATGGTGGGCTTATAATCGTAAAACACCCCCACCATTTAGATTTGACTAATTATATGTTGATCTAAGATTGGTCATATTGTAATTACGGATAATGTGTCAAAACTAATAGAGTTTTCAATTTTAAAAAAACCAGAGAAATCACAAAGGCTTCCTTCATGAAGAACCTTGTTCAAATCTACATTGATTTGAACGTGACTAAGAAATTAACATATTCCATATTGTCTTTTTAGAGAAACATAGACAGTGGCACAATCTCATTTCTTTTTGAAGCCTGGTATAAGATCTTCACCAGGAATGAAAGTGGTTGCAGATTATTGGAGGGAAGTGAGTTATTTATTCTTCCATTTAGTTTTAACTAGTTAATGTACCTGTGCATTTCATGTGAACTATTTTGAGTTATTATTTTGATTTTTGTTTTCAGTGTACACGAGGGTACAAAACGAAGACTTGAAGACACTAGAGATGTTAAATAGTATGATTTAGTATATCTACTATTTGAATATATCTTTGAGATAAATTGATGATTTTTTGAAGGCCACAAATAGAAAAAAATTCCAGAATATATCTTTCAAGCAGGGTAAGGTCATTACATTATATCAAAAGGGATGTGCAANTGTGTGTGTGTGTGTGCGCTTTGATATACTAATGTGTCTATTAAAAATTTTAATTATTTTATGGGTTAATCGGCTTAACTCAATCCGTTATAAACTNTTATTTGTGTATTTTTTTAATTAAATGTATTTTAATTTTTGTATTAGAATATGTGTATGTATTTTTGGTGTATTAGTGTGTGTGTATACTTGTATTTTAGTGTACTACTAATGTGTGTGTGTGTGTGCGCTTTGATGTACTAATGTGTCTATTAAAAATTTTAATTATTTTATGAGTTAATCGGCTTAACCCAATCCGTTATAAACCCAACTTATTATAACCCATTTACTACATGAGTGAAAAATAAATTGAATTTATTTTAACCCAATCTAATTTAATCCAACCCAATCCACCCATTTCCCACCTCTACTCCCAGGTTGTTGAAAGGTATACGTTGCAATTTGCACTTCATAACTTCACAAAGAGCCTGTCAGTTTTCTGGAAATTCACAACATCAAAGCAAGTTCTAAATACTTGTTTGTCTCTCACTCTCTTTCTCCCAATTCCTTATGCGTTTGTGTTATACATTTATTTACACCTAAAGTTTATCATGAAACCCGGCTTTTCATGAAGGAGAGCCCATTAATATTTATAACAATGGCCTCAATTGTATGCACAATGAATTGTTCTGTTATCTGAGTGCCTGGTGGCTAGAGATAAATACATTCAACAAAGACCACTTGTAACATTGGCATCAGAATTTCACCAACAACTCTACATAAAAGGTTTCTAAGTTTATTTCTTTCACATAAAAATGTAGTACCAACTGATAATTACATTTATTTACTTGGTGAGAATATAAGCGAAGTAAAGAATCATTGAAGGTTTTTGTCCAACAATCCATATAAGAGACCATACCAAAGAAACTTTTGGAAATTCATTGAAGTACTTAGACATGAAAGCATTACAGATAGGAAGATGCAAAGCTTACCAATTCATTCTCCCTCATTGGTTCCCTAGCTCTAGATTTGAAACTTCATCATTAACAATCTCAATACTCTCAGTTCTTTTGTATTCCCTTTTTAGTTTTGACTGCAGCATGTGAAAACATGAGTAAGAATCAAAAAACCCAAGAGAGAGAGAGAGCAACATAAGAACTAATGATGAGGGAAGGACTATGGTAGACAGAAGTGTTCATGAAGTTGACAACATGAACTTCTGTATCCTAGTTTCGAATTTTCTTTAGTACATGTTATTGCTATATGACATGTTTTCTTCCTTGGTATAGACATGGTGGGCTTATAATCGTAAAACACCCCCACCATTTAGATTTGACTAATTATATGTTGATCTAAGATTGGTCATATTGTAATTACAGATAATGTGTCAAAACTAATAGAGTTTTCAATTTTAAAAAAACCAGAGAAATCACAAAGGCTTCCTTCATGAAGAACCTTGTTCAAATCTACATTGATTTGAACGTGACTAAGAAATTAACATATTCCATATTGTCTTTTTAGAGAAACATAGACAGTGGCACAATCTCATTTCTTTTTGAAGCCTTGTATAAGATCTTCACCAGGAATGAAAGTGGTTGCAGATTATTGGAGGGAAGTGAGTTATTTATTCTTCCATTTAGTTTTAACTAGTTAATGTACCTGTGCATTTCATGTGAACTATTTTGAGTTATTATTTTGATTTTTTTTTTCGGTGTACACGAGGGTACAAAACGAAGACTTGAAGACACTAGAGATGTTAAATAGTATGATTTAGTATATCTACTATTTGAATATATCTTTGAGATAAANACCTCTTTTTTAAGTTATTTTCTTATTGGTCTAGCATTACTGCTCGAGTGAGAGACACATAAGCTTCTATACTATTATTCCAATACATAAACCTCTGTCCTACGGTGCAGTAAAGTACAAGATTATCATATCTCCTTGGGTAAACTAAACTAAACTAAACAGAAAAGAATAAACATTTGATTTTGTACCACATTGTTACCTTTTTTATCTGGTTGAGGATGCTATGTGAAAATTTTAATTTTAATGGTACAAATTAAAAGTATAAGAATCTTTCGGGGTGTTAAATGTCATTGATCCCACTCTTCGTGTTACATCTGGATAGACATATACATGGAGAGATTTTGCTGAACCAAAGGCCAACACAACACTGGAAATGGCCCGCTCTGCTACACCCTCCAGTCTATCTCTGTCCTCGGTCCTTGCTCAAGAGCTCAACCGTTCTTCTCTGTCATTCAAGCCCACACCACTCTTCTTTACCTCCACCAAGACGTCCAACACTTTCTCTCTCTACCCATTGGTGTTACAGTGTAGAGGAAGAAAATCAATCAATTGGGTTGATGTTTCTTTGGCAAAATCTGAGTCTTGCCCAGTTATTGTGGCTGCTTTGGCCGCTGAAGCTGAGGTAGCAGTGGCTCTGGAAGACGAAGATGAGGTGGTGGTNTGGTGAGAATATAAGCGAAGTAAAGAATCATTGAAGGTTTTTGTCCAACAATCCATATAAGAGACCATACCAAAGAAACTTTTGGAAATTCATTGAAGTACTTAGACATGAAAGCATTACAGATAGGAAGATGCAAAGCTTACCAATTCATTCTCCCTCATTGGTTCCCTAGCTCTAGATTTGAAACTTCATCATTAACAATCTCAATACTCTCAGTTCTTTTGTATTCCCTTTTTAGTTTTGACTGCAGCATGTGAAAACATGAGTAAGAATCAAAAAACCCAAGAGAGAGAGAGAGCAACATAAGAACTAATGATGAGGGAAGGACTATGGTAGACAGAAGTGTTCATGAAGTTGACAACATGAATTTCTGTATCCTAGTTTCGAATTTTCTTTAGTATATGTTATTGCTATATGACATGTTTTCTTCCTTGGTATAGACATGGTGGGCTTATAATCGTAAAACACCCCCACCATTTAGATTTGACTAATTATATGTTGATCTAAGATTGGTCATATTGTAATTACAGATAATGTGTCAAAACTAATAGAGTTTTCAATTTTAAAAAAACCAGAGAAATCACAAAGGCTTCCTTCATGAAGAACCTTGTTCAAATCTACATTGATTTGAACGTGACTAAGAAATTAACATATTCCATATTGTCTTTTTAGAGAAACATAGACAGTGGCACAATCTCATTTCTTTTTGAAGCCTGGTATAAGATCTTCACCAGGAATGAAAGTGGTTGCAGATTATTGGAGGGAAGTGAGTTATTTATTCTTCCATTTAGTTTTAACTAGTTAATGTACCTGTGCATTTCATGTGAACTATTTCGAGTTATTGTTTTGATTTTTTTTTTCGGTGTACACGAGGGTACAAAACGAAGACTTGAAGACACTAGAGATGTTAAATAGTATGATTTAGTATATCTACTATTTGAATATATCTTTGAGATAAATTGATGATTTTTTGAAGGCCACAAATAGAAAAAAATTCCGGAATATATCTTTCAAGCAGGGTAAGGTCATTACATTATATCAAAAGGGATGTGCACTAGTTGATAGAGAACACTTGTCATGTGAGAAATATGTGGGTACATTTGGAGTATGTACAACGAACAGTGATCATGTGAGAAATATGTGGATATATTGAGCATATAAAACTAATCCTTTCATTCTATATTTTGATATATTGAAATATTACTATTTAAAAATGCGATCAATCGATCATAAAAAGAAATTTCTAAACAAAAGACAAATAAAATTAGAACAATTCCACATTAAAATACTAAAATTTAGATAGAAAAAGATTACCATCGTACTCGAACCTAATGTTTCAAATTAAATTGGATGGATTAGAAACATCAGTCACCACTATTACAACCCAAATTAATAAAATTTGACAAGTCGGCAAAATTCGATTTCCCTTCAAATCCTATAGAGATAATTTCATTGTAGTGTGTCAACACAGGAGTTTTGAAAGACAAGATGGGAACTATATCTGATCTCTAACTCACTTGCTGTGTAGGTAAGGATTTATATCAAAGTTAACAACGCATTTAGATGGGACCAAATAAGTAATTGAAGGACCAAAATTTACACAAAATATAGTTCAGGAGTTTCATCGACACAAATAGTATATATCAAAAGCCAAATAAGTAGTTAACTCTAATATAATTCTAAAATAGTTTTCTTTCTATTCTACTTTCTCATAAAAGGAAAAGTTTAGATAATTTTCAATTTTATCTTTCAATCTATTGGAAGATATCTAGTAGAAAATGATAGAATGACCAAAAGAATTAGATAAAAGAATACGATACGATACAAAAATATTTACAAATTTGAAATAAATAAAAGTACAGTCAAAGATACGACTATAGTAACGACATATCATTCAACCTCTTTACAAAAATATTTACAAATTTGAAATAAATAAAAGCACAGATACAACTATAGTAACGACATATCATTCAACCTCTTTTTTAAGTTATTTTCTTATTGGTCTAGCATTACTGCTCGAGTGAGAGACACATAAGCTTCTATACTATTATTCCAATACATAAACCTCTGTCCTACGGTGCAGTAAAGTACAAGATTATCATATCTCCTTGGGTAAACTAAACTAAACTAAACAGAAAAGAATAAACATTTGATTTTGTACCACATTGTTACCTTTTTTATCTGGTTGAGGATGCTATGTGAAAATTTTAATTTTAATGGTACAAATTAAAAGTATAAGAATCTTTCGGGGTGTTAAATGTCATTGATCCCACTCTTCGTGTTACATCTGGATAGACATATACATGGAGAGATTTTGCTGAACCAAAGGCCAACACAACACTGGAAATGGCCCGCTCTGCTACACCCTCCAGTCTATCTCTGTCCTCGGTCCTTGCTCAAGAGCTCAACCGTTCTTCTCTGTCATTCAAGCCCACACCACTCTTCTTTACCTCCACCAAGACGTCCAACACTTTCTCTCTCTACCCATTGGTGTTACAGTGTAGAGGAAGAAAATCAATCAATTGGGTTGATGTTTCTTTGGCAAAATCTGAGTCTTGCCCAGTTATTGTGGCTGCTTTGGCCGCTGAAGCTGAGGTAGCAGTGGCTCTGGAAGACGAAGATGAGGTGGTGGTGGAAGGTGGTGTTGCTTCAACTCCTCCAACGAAGCCCAAGAAAGGCAAAGCTGCACTGCCTCTGAAGAGGGATAGAGTATGCATTGAACTCATTTCTTGTATTTGTACATGTATTTGGTTATTTGATAAGTAGGTTTTGCTTGACTTCTGTGTTAATCTTAGATTTTATTTTCAGAATTTTGAAGTTGAAACCTTGTAGTTCTGCCATTCAATTGTTAATTCGTTAATTATTATTGTTGCTCTAGTTTTATTTCGGTTATTTTTAGACATATCTAGTGATTGACAAGTAGTTTTGGTTTATTTTTATGAGCAATTGCTTTTGTTCGTGAAATTTAATGTCAAAACCCTTATCTTGTTGCCATTCAATTAGGACAGAGAACTTATATAATTTTATCCCTTGAATTGTAACTTATAATTACATTTAAGGTTTGCAGTATTCACTTGATTTTCTTCTTTATTCCCAACTAAGAGTTTTGGATTGATAAACGATTTGGTATTACCATTGAAATGGGATTGACACAATGCACGTTAGCTCATATGCATTTGTTGTTCTTGCTCTTCAACCCAGTATGATGGATGTTATTGAGGTACTTGTGGCCTTCGCTTGAATTTTTTTTTCTCAATTATGATGCTGAATTTTACCTATAGTACTATCTCTGAAGTTTGTCCAGAGGCAGACTAAGTTTCGTGTCTTCTTCTGGTTTTTGTATTAAACCCTTGAATAATGGGTATGTGCAGATTCAATCAACGGGCTTTGCTTATTTTCTTCTTAAATTGTGATTTTTTTTTGATAGAAAACAGAAACTCTTGTATTAAAATAGAAAAATATAGTACATTAAGAAAGATTGGATAAGAAATCCAATCATAATCAAGGAAGCACAAATTGAAAAGCAACAAACTTTAAGAACCTATAAATCACATGATGCTCTCCATCCCACTACTATAGCAAAATGCTATAGTATTCACATGTTAGCAGATTACTTTTAGTGAAGCATAGCCTAATTTTGCTTTTGCCTTTTAAACTGCAACGGTTCAAAGGTTGAAACATTTAATGGGATTTTCTTGATTTAGGCCACAGTTAGCAATCTATTATAAATATGCAAAATATTGGACTAGCAATTTGGGCATATTGTTATAACAGCCTTGGGTCATAAATAGTTGTTGCCCAGTTTGTTCTTTGTTAACGAGAATGCTAAACAAATGGACTAGTATAGACACCATTTGACATTATTTGCACAGGATGACTGTCCATATAGTTAACTCAGGGTTGTTAGTCCGATGCTTTGCCACTTCACGAGGCATTTATTCACACGGCCAATGCATTAGTTTTGAGCTTTGCTTTTAGTTTTAGCTTGGTAATTAGGTTCATGCAACAATTAGTTTACCATTTCTATTGCCCTTATTCTTCAACAAATTACATGAACTATGCTCTAGGTTTGCACTTATTACACTCTGCTTGTGGTATGAAAATTTCCAATCGACCCCAATAAACTAATGGTCAAATGACAAAGTTGAGAGAAACTGTCCAATGACCATTTTACCCTTTGAATGCCAAAAACTCAAAACCCAAACCGTAAACCCAAAGTTCAAATCCAAAACACCGAGATCGCAACATAAAACCCAATCTACTAATTCCGTTTTCTCTCCAATCTCCTCCCTACAAACACCTTATCGGTGTGAACATGCCCTTTCACCATCTCCTCTCGATCCCTTCCCTTCCGTCGAGGATCATTTATGTAATTCAATCAATTTTGTATCTTTCTTTCCTTCTTTGTATAAAATATATGATAGGTTCATGAAATCACTTCAACTTCAAGAAAAGTTTTACATCATCATACCTTTTGTCCTCACCTCCTTGTTTGTGGAATGTGGATTCCTGGACCTGTTTCATCATTTTTTCCCCTCTAATCAGATTGTTACGTTCATGCTTTCGAATACCTCTCTTTTTTTCTGTTTTTCCTCTGTTTACTTACTCATGATGTCAAGTGTGATTAATACTCTTTTTGCTGGAATTTTCAGATGAGGTCCAAGAGATTTTTGGAAATTCAGAAATTGAGGGAAAACAAGAAAGATTACGACTTAACAACTGCAATATCACTGCTCAAGCAAACAGCAAGCACAAAGTTCGTCGAAACAGCTGAATCCCATTTCCGCCTCAACATTGATCCCAAATATAATGATCAACAGTTGAGGGCAACGGTGAGTTTTCAAAGCATTGATTGATTATATGAAGTGCGTATTAGTTAATATCTCAAACTTTTCTTGTCTTCTGTTGTAGGTGAATTTGCCCAAGGGAACTGGCCAGACTGTAACAGTTGCTGTTCTAACTCAAGGTAGACACACCTCTCAATTACCTCAGACTAGGTTCTGCTTTGAAGGATGATGAGTTCTTTTCATTCTCTTTGCTTATTTCCAATATAACATCTTCCTTTTGGTTTGGAGCATGGTATGCTTTTCTTGAGTATGAACAAAAGAAGAAAAGAACTTAACAAGATGTGGGAATGCCAACTCCCTGCTCCTTAACTGCTGCTATGTTGATTTCTACCTATGAGTTTTTTACTTAGGTAGTATTTTCATCAGTGAAAATTATTCATTCATAAATAACCATAATATGCTATTATTGCCTAATTCTTTAGAATTAAGAACTTTTATCTCTTCTTATGAAAATTATACTTACTATAGGCACCGGTTTTATTTATTGACACTTGTGTTTATGAACTTCGCTTGCATGGAAAAGGAATCTGTGAAACTATTACGTTCCGTTCATTCTTCCTACTTGCTTACATTTTATAATTGCCATATCTGGTTTGGCCTTCTTTGTGGTTGAATTTCTACAGGGGAAAAGTTTGATGAAGCAAAGAATGCAGGAGCAGATTTGGTTGGAGGAGAGGACTTGATAGAGCAGATAAAAGGAGGATTCATGGAATTTGACAAATTAATTGCTACGCCTGATATGATGCCTAAGGTGTTGCTCTGCTCATCTTTTTGTGTTTTGTGGCATTGACCTGCTTTATGTTCATCAATATATGGTGGTTGAAAGGATCAAGGATCAAAATTTAGCTTGGATGTATAGTTTTGGTTAGCTAGGAAATGGAAACGTATGTGGAATGATTTGGAAACAGAATAGGAATAGGAATAGGAATAGGAAAAAGTTTGGAAACTGAAACATTAGAATTTCGCTTCTAAAATGTTCCAAAATATGAGACCATCAATTTTCAATTTTCCATCAAAACCAAGACATTTTGGTCATTTTGTTTGAAAGGAAATTAAACTAAATTTTGTTCATTGGATGGAATACCCTGTTTTCCCTTTTTTTCCTTAAGTGTTGAGGAGAAGTTTAGCAGAAAAATTATAACTTGGAAAGGTTCTATTCTATACTTGAAGAAGGTTCATTTGTCAAGAATAATTTCCTGTGCAAAGTATTCATCAAGATGAGGAGATGGATGTCTCTATATCTCTTGTATTTTCTAATCACTGTTATCATAGGCACCGCTTGTTTTTGATTCCTTTGGACAAATTGTACATCATTTCTTAGGCATCCTTTTTTTTTTTTTTTTGTCTTTTGATCCTGTGTATATCAACCAATCACAATCTATACAAATATCCAAGGTGATACCTAGTGAAGGTGAAGATGGAGTACCTAGCTACAAACAATCAAAGTCGTTATTGAAAGTCTCAGGTGATACGGATATGATCTGATTGAGTTGTATCCGGAAAGACACTTTCTATTCTGAAATTGATATACATTTTGTGTACACCACAGGTCTCACTAGACTCATGATTGACTTAGAGACATCTTGAACAATTCGGTCTAGTCTTTCAAGTCATTATCGTTGAACCACGATGTATTGCCACTACTGTTCAATGACACCACAATAGAACATGAATCTCTCATTGTGTCCTATTTCTTTTCTACCTAGCATCTCGTGTACACTACTTGCTATCGATCTATGACACGGTCACCAATGCTCCTCAATCCTCTCCGAGTTGATGATCAATTTCATGACCTTGAACCATGATCATGGCGCAGTGTGCAACTACTATAGACTTTCTTGACTATTCTTTACTTACATAGACATTAATATGCTTTTGATGGTGCTAAGAACTCTTTGGCACCACTTGTTGATCACCTTCAAGGAGGAGGGTGTACCATTCTTTCTGCCACAAAACACCACTTTTTCTCTTTGATTTTCTTTATTATTTTTAAAATTCTTTGTTACTTTTGCTTATAGTTAAATTCATGTGTTATGTATAATATGTGAATTTTTTAAGTTGGATAACTGCTAGCATATGTTTTGATCTTAGTGATGGGTCCTACTATTGAAATTTAAGGGATTTTGTTTACAATAAGTGCATGGGTGAAGGGATTAATTTAACAACTTCAACTGAAACCCTATTTTGAATTACACTTTCCATTACCTCTCTTTTCAATTTTTTACTTTCTTCTTCTGGCCTAGGCTTTAGTTTTCAACTTTTTATTAGAGTTAATGATTAAACACAATCGAACCTCATATGCACTAAAACTTGTGAAGCATCATCTGCAGATTGCCAGAGAAAAAATGGCAGCTTTTTGTATAGCTGACATTAGAATTTGTACATGACATCAGTGTGTGCAGACTAGGAGGCCTGGATGGACACATGCTGAGAATTGTGGTGATTTTTGAGAAATTCTGTGAAGCCTTCGAATGGGTTTTTTAATTTTCAAAATTTTTTCAGTGTTTAGGACCTATTTCCATATTTGATATTGGTGGATTTTTGGGTTGTTTCTCTTCGCTCAATCTGATCAAAGGGGTGCCCCCTTGAATCTGTGGTTTGTTCCATTTGTTTGAGGCAAGCTGCATTGATATTTTGTTAAGGTTGACATATACGTACGCTCAAGCCAAGTAACGTGGTCTTCGGGAACAGGATTTCTCTCTCCGAAGAAAAGCTTTATTCATTCATCCCTACGGGTGAACTGATCAAATTGAAACGTAAACTATATTTCTACCCCATCGCACCCCTAACAATCGACCTTGATGCAGCATCTAGGTAGTTCTCATCAGGAACCATTGTAGCGAAGTAGGTAGATTATATTGGGTCATTGGAGTGAATTAAGCCAATGAAGGCAAATAGATAGACCAGGCTCATCCTTTTATGTTGAGGTCACAAGTCTGTCTATGATTAAAAGACTAGGTGATGTTGAAGTCGACTCATTCATGCTAGTCATCTTAGAGCTATGAGTCAGAACAATGTTCACCAACTCTTCTATAGTCATCTTGTTCATATATCGAAAAAGTTTTAGAATGAGTTTCCATTATTATATTAAAGCCTTTTGTCTCCTCCCAAATATCGTGTCGGATACGATACTCATCGGGTATTCAAGGATATGTATCGGATACACACTAAACATACTCAATAATAAATAAAATATGTGGATACTTCACGAATACTTTTATATGCAAAGAAGTATGTGTAACTTTTAGTTTTTTCCTTCCTTTCGATTTCACATGCAATGCAATATATCAACAAAAATTATTTATATGACTTTGAAGACATGTGGGTGTTTTTCAAATATTATCCATCATGACACGTCCAACAAGTACACTATAATCTTAGTAACAAATATTTTCTAAGCAAACAATCTAATTAAATGTTGGTTCTTATTACTTTAGTTAATCATGTTCACTTTGTAGATATACCATTATGAGACAATAGGTACCTTTTTGAATATAAAAAATTATTAATGTTGTTAATCATTGATAAAGAATCAATAAAATTATAGCTATCAAGTCATTACATAATAGTACAAATATAAAATATGTATATTTTTATAGACATAATTTGGTCATATCTATATCTTATTTTTTGAGATTTTGTCGTATTGTCGTAATTGTATCGTATCCGTATCTCATATCCGTATCTATGCTTCCTAGGAGGCAAAACAACTTTGTTAGTGATTATTTCTAGTTTTTGGTAGATCGGCACTTCACTTTTGCACTCTGACAGCCCCAATTGCTTAATTTTTTGGTATAATTAGAATGGTGGTTGTTTTTCTTTATCAGCTATAAGATTGTTTTATGAGAAATTTTTCAATGGGACTTCCGAATGCTATATTCTCTATTGAGTATACTTTATGGTGTTGTTATCCCTAATGTGTGGATGAGGCTAGTTCTATTTTAGTAGTAGTAATGAGGGGAGTGGGGTTGAGTCATGTAGGGGTTCTTGGTGATAACCTCTCTCTTCAGATTAGCTCCATTGAGTTGGATGGCATTAACTATTCAACTTGGTTACAATTTTGTACTTCGTCGATTGATGCCTATTTCCTTCTAGGTAATTGTATTCAAAGAAGTCATCGTTTTTGCTGTGATAATCATACACAACCATCTATTGCTCGAAGTTTTTTACTTTTCGATATAGCTGTATGGAAGATTTGGAATGCTATTGTCAAACCTACTTAAAAGTCGATAATAATGCTCAAGCCTATAAACTACTAGCAAAGTTTCAAAAAACTAAGTAGTGGGATATAATTGTCTTCTAGGAAGGACAGATATTTCGCGAAGGGTGCTGTGGCAGTGTCTTGAATAGTGAACTCAGTTGGACATAGCCGACTGATATACAACAAAGTTTTTTTTTTAAATATATTTGTTAACTATTAAAAATAGTGTGATTTTTTATTTTTTGTATTTTTTGTTATGTAACTTATATACTATGAATGTTAATGGATGTAATGATGTTTGATGAAAATAGTATATGTTTATTTTGATCTATTTTAATTTTAATAAAAAAATTAATATTTATTAGGTCTTATTACTAATATTGTTATAAAATATGTTTTTTTATTATATTATAATTTTATTACTATCTCAAAAATATATTATTTTATTTCAATTGGTCTTATCCTTGTTATATTCGTGTCCTATATTTTCGAATTTTACGTTATCCCCGTGTCCATATCCTGCTGTCGCTCAATATTGGGCATAGCTTAATAGTCTTTGCTAGTTGGATTATTATTATGAACTTTGAGGCCAATTGCCCAACTGATGCTGTTAGGTTTCTGAAGCTGGTTGATAAAGGGTGAGTGCATGATTTTTTTGCTGGACTTATAGTGGATATGATCAGGTTCGTGATCAAGTTCCTGGTTGTCATTTCCTACTTGGTGACAGCCTTGTGCATCTGTTAAGCAAGAGGATAGTAGGAGGAGGGCCTTTATGCTCCCTCCCATCCCAAAGAGCAGGTCTGCCTTAGTTGCAGCTCCCCTACTAGAGATACACAAGGGGAGGCATCTTGGTTTAATGATAAAGATCAACTGAAGTGTGAATACTGTATGAAGACTAGGCATGATCTAGATCCCTGTTGGAAGCTACATGGACATCAGGATATGGTGGATGGATAGGTCCATCAGGCTTATTTCTGGCTGCAAGTTTTAGATTTCATTGTTGTCATGACCTTGTTTTTTGTGTAAGTCCCAAAAGCTGTTGAAATTAGGAATAGAATACCATTTTGTTCATCAATTTGATTTCATGGTACGACCACCTCATTTTGTTCTCATTGATCAGGTATCCTCTTGTTGCATTCTCAAGTTCATACACACATCCAACAGTCAATTGTCCATCAAATTGGGACTTATGGAAAATTGGTCAATCAAGAAACATAATTTAGTCACCAAATCTAAAATCCTTGCAAGGCTAACTGGCATGCCCTTGCCTCTGGTCTTCTTGTGCCCCCTTTGCTGTTTTGTCTATTTTCCTTGTTTTACGATATGCAGGTCAAGTTCGGTCCACACCATCCCATTTGGTGAATCTTTTGTTGTAGCAACCTATTGTGCTTGTACACTCAAAACACACAGTGTGTTTTTTGTTTGTGCTATTCTCTGTAAAAGAGGGCCATTAGAAGTTAAAATAAGCTGCATGTGGCACATGAGTCCGTGTTTCTTTTTGTTCTGAGTTGACATTTTCTTAGCATTGACTACAGATTTTACTTCGTGCGTGGAATTTTATTTACATTTATGACCTACTTTCATCAGGTTGCCAGTCTTGGTAGGATTCTGGGACCACGAGGACTAATGCCAAACCCAAAGGCTGGTACAGTTACTACTAATATACCTCAGGTATGGTCTAAATCTTCCTGCCCGTACATATTTACCCAAATTGGAGGTAGATTTCCTGATTCTGAACTTCTGATCGAGGAGGTAAGCTTTGGTTTTTTTTACCTGTTCTTTCTACATTGTTCCTGCTCTAGACTCCTGGATCTTTCAGTTTGTGTAATCCCAGTCAACACAATAAGAAAGGAAATTAAGGGGGAAAGTAAGAAGTGGGAATGATTGTGATCTTTGTATCTGTTAGTCAATAAACTTGTTGCCAGGTTGCACTATTGATAATTTAAATTCTCTACTAATTCGCACTCTTGAAATTCAGTATAAAAGAAGGATTCACAAGATCATTTGTTGCAGGCTATAGAGGAATTCAAGAAGGGCAAGGTTGAATACAGAGCAGATAAAACTGGTATTGTTCACTTACCCTTCGGAAAGGCAAATTTCTCAGAGGAAGATCTTCTTTTAAACTTGCTTGCTGCAGTGGTATGTTTTTTCATACGGTTTTAAGCTCCAACACTTTCTAAAATCTAAAATCTAAAATCTACCCTTCACGTATGAAGTTTTATTTGATCGTTATTTCTTTAATCTGGTAGAAATCAGTAGAGGCAAACAAGCCATCCGGTGCAAAAGGAGTGTATTGGAAAAGTGCACATATATGCTCGTCAATGGGGCCTTCCATTCGGTTGAATATAAGGGAGATGCTCGAGTACAAGCTTCCATCAAATATTTAAGGAATATATCTACACCTGTAAATCATATTCTCTGTTGTTCAATTAGCTTCTTGTGTGCCCCTAAGAGAGCTCTTAATTCTTAGAAGAGGGTGGATTAAGAGCCTAGGATGAAGAAAAAAGTCAGATATTGAAAGCCATGTTCAGGNTGTTGTTCAATTAGCTTCTTGTGTGCCCCTAAGAGAGCTCTTAATTCTTAGAAGAGGTTGGATTAAGAGCCTAGGATGAAGAAAAAAGTCAGATATTGAAAGCCATGTTCAGGTTAGTCACGAGTGGCTATACTTTTGCGCCATCCCAAAAAAAAAAAAAAAAATCATGTTATCACTGATACGTATGACGTAATAAAGTTTTGTTAATTTATGTTTTTCCTCTAGATGAAATTTTTAAATACCCAAATTTTACATTGGCTACATATAGTTTTGTTTTCTTGCCATGCCAAAAACAAACCCTATTGTTTTCTAGATCGCTGGGATTTGTCCTGTGTAAGCTTTTGGTTCTCTACCTTTTATGGGTTTCAAGAATTCTATTTAGCTTTCTTTTCATGGACTAACTTTCATTCATTTTATGATCACATACAGTGAATGTCCCATTGACATTTGTTATGCTTCACCATTGAATGGGAATTATGCCAATACCTATGGCATGCAAAAATTAAAGGTTCTGATCGAGAAAACTTGGTATATTATCATTATACTTGGGTGGATAGTGGTCTTTGTATCATTTCTTTGGTATTAAATGAAAAAATATATCCCTTTTTATTTCTTAATTCTCAGGTCTTACATGAGTCCATAACAGGAAAAAATTTGTGCTTGTTTTTAGTAGCATATGAATCGAGAGGGCCTATGGCTCGTGCATACAATTATTCAACTACTTTCTTCCTCCTACTTCTTTAGCCACTTCTGCATCTATCATATTCGGGCGAGCTTACTTCGTGGTGGCGGAGCATTTAGCAATGCCAACATCCTGGTGAGGGTGCGAAAGCTAGGATATTTCATCATAGCTTCGGATTCTACAACCAGCCCAACTTACCGAAATGCACTTTCAAATTTTAACTCAAAACGGCTGGAGAGAGAAAAGGTTCCCTTTTTTGAGGGTTTACTTTCTTTGATTAAAAAGGTAGAATGTGCACCCATATTACTGGTATAAGCACACGAGTACGCATGTATAGGGCCATGCCTGCAGATAATGTTGAGACAATGAATATGGTATAGGGTACTTCACACCAGGACAATTGGAACACACAAAACACTCGAGTTCGAACATGGATCATGTTTCATCTAAAAAGACCACCCAAAAAAGAGAGAAACGAAGTAGCCAACACAAAGTGCCATCAAATTGCTGACAATATCACATTCTGTTTCACTTCAAATCTAGTTCCTAAAGATCTATAATATTTGATCATATGTAATCTACAACAAAAAAAACATACATCATNTTCACTTCAAATCTAGTTCCTAAAGATCTATAATATTTGATCATATGTAATCTACAAAAAAAAAAAACATACATCAANGATCATGTTTCATCTAAAAAGACCACCCAAAAAAGAGAGAAACGAAGTAGCCAACACAAAGTGCCATCAAATTGCTGACAATATCACATTCTGTTTCACTTCAAATCTAGTTCCTAAAGATCTATAATATTTGATCATATGTAATCTACAACAAAAAAAACATACATCATGTAAGTATGAGCAATATTGGAATTTCCTAAGACAGCTGAATTGTGTGAAGGAAATGACAGCTCGGTTCTGATAGATTGCGCTGGATGGTACAGGTCCCCTTAATAGAATGATGTCCTAGCTTGCTGCCATTTTCACTAGTGATATAAGTGGGGGTCTTCAGCAACGACTTTTTTCCAATNGAGTCCATAACAGGAAAAAATTTGTGCTTGTTTTTAGTAGCATATGAATCGAGAGGGTCTATGGCTCGTGCATACAATTATTCAAATACTTTCTTCCTCCTACTTCTTTAGCCACNGAGTCCATAACAGGAAAAAATTTGTGCTTGTTTTTAGTAGCATATGAATCGAGAGGGCCTATGGCTCGTGCATACAATTATTCAACTACTTTCTTCCTCCTACTTCTTTAGCCACTCTGCATCTATCATATTCGGGCGAGCTTACTTCGTGGTGGCGGAGCATTTAGCAATGCCAACATCCTGGTGAGGGTGCGAAAGCTAAGATATTTCATCATAGCTTCGGATTCTACAACCAGCCCAACTTACCGAAATGCACTTTCAAATTTTAACTCAAAACGGCTGGAGAGAGAAAAGGTTCCCTTTTTTGAGGGTTTACTTTCTTTGATTAAAAAGGTAGAATGTGCACCCATATTACTGGTATAAGCACACGAGTACGCATGTATAGGGCCATGCCTGCAGATAATGTTGAGACAATGAATATGGTATAGGGTACTTCACACCAGGACAATTGGAACACACAAAACACTCGAGTTCAAACATGGATCATGTTTCATCTAAAAAGACCACCCAAAAAAGAGAGAAACGAAGTAGCCAACACAAAGTGCCATCAAATTGCTGACAATATCACATTCTGTTTCACTTCAAATCTAGTTCCTAAAGATCTATAATATTTGATCATATGTAATCTACAACAAAAAAAACATACATCAAGTAAGTATGAGCAATATTGGAATTTCCTAAGACAGCTGAATTGTGTGAAGGAAATGACAGCTCGGTTCTGATAGATTGCGCTGGATGGTACAGGTCCCCTTAATAGAATGATGGCCTAGCTTGCTGCCATTTTCACTAGTGATATAAGTGGGGGTCTTCAGCAACGACTTTTTTCCAATAACCCCATCACAGATCCCCAGCTTTCTCCACTGCTCCACACTGAATTGGCACAAGAAAACATTAGCTAATTAGAAATGTTCACTCATATAAATACAAATCCTTTTTGGACTTGAATTGGTGTTGAACCTTTCGAGGGTTGTTCTATCCAAGGCCCATTCATTATAGTCAGAATACTACATGCTTCACTGTACTCCAAGTTAGGTAGCAGCTTTGGTGTAAGTAAGAAACACCTGCACAACATCAACAGAAAGGCACTTCAAAGCCATTCTTAGGGGTTTGGTATGGAAAAGAAGGCCCGTTTCGTGCAAGCAAAGTAGACAATTATTGTATAATCGCAGAGAGAAGCACATCCCTTCCATGTGGTATACAATCTAGGTTGTATTTCAGTTGTCAGCTGGTAAATTTTGATGAATGATGACGATCGGAATTGATCATTTACTAAATGTTATTCAATCGAGTACTTGGTTATATGATAACCATTTGACATGCCCCTTACATAATACATAACAAAAATAAAAGAATAAGAACGCGAAAAAAAGTAACTTGCGTTTGCAATCTACATGTACACAGTAGATGAGCCCAAAGCGCATAAAAGGCACACAATGTAAGAGCGAAATAAATGCAAATAATTTAACCACAAGGTTCAACAAAATTTCCCTGTAACTCATCAGCATACTTATCCTAAAGCGTCAAGCTGTAAAGTGCCCATGTACACATTGCACACACAAGGAGCACCCTAAAACATCTACAACTAAGCTCCCAGCCAAAACTTACTAAAAAAAGTCAACAAATGATCCTTGCAAAAACTTCGTTGAACCAAAAGAAAAGAAGACCCAACATCAATTGTCTCAACTTGGGCAAGGATGGCTCCACCCTCATATAANAAATGATCCTTGCAAAAACTTCGTTGAACCAAAAGAAAAGAAGACCCAACATCAATTTCTCAACTTGGGCAAGGATGGCTCCACCCTCAAATATNTCCTTGCAAAAACTTCGTTGAACCAAAAGAAAAGAAGACCCAACATCAATTGTCTCAACTTGGGCAAGGATGGCTCCACCCTCATATAAGAGTTAATATATATATGGGTGATGAGATGGGAGATTAGAGTATTCTCATTCCCCTTAACCCTAATTATAATCACTTCCTTTTCTCTCTTCCCTTCTCTTTTCTTCTCCATTCTGAACCCTAAAACCTAATATGTTGAGATTTCAAATGTTACATATCCCACAAATAATCTGGGTATTTTAAATTTAATTTCTTTTAACAAGTAGACACTTAATGACACTTCACATGCACTAGCTTGACATCTACTTTAAAAAAATTGTTACATATTCAATATCTACGGTAAAAACTTATGAACTGCCACATTTAGTACATTGGAATGTATAAGGAACTATGTTGCAGATCATTCATTCCCATACACAATTCACTTGGNTACATATCCCACAAATAATCTGGGTATTTTAAATTTAATTTCTTTTAACAAGTAGACGCTTAATGACACTTCACATGCACTAGCTTGACATCTACTTTAAAAAAATTGTTACATATTCAATATCTATGGTAAAAACTTATGAACTGCCACATTTAGTACGTTGGAATGTATAAGGAACTATGTTGCAGATCATTCATTCCCATACACAATTCACTTGCATTTTCTTCCAACTTTCCTACCTCTCCCACCCTCCAACATACCTCCCTCTAGGTTTTTTTGGTTGTTGTTGGGGGGTGGGGGGAGTAAAATCTCTCTTCCATCTAATCTACCAATCTACTCAGTGCCTTCTTTCACCAAATCGAAAAGAGAGAAAATGAATCCCCTCTAGTAGGGGAGAACCTTCTTCCCACCATACTCGGGATTTCGTCCTCATTAAAGGACCTTAGCATTGTCTATAATGCCACCACCAACTCCCTAACCTTGTTGATTATTTTGTATTTTTCATTTTCCAACTTATCGCAATCGTGGAGAGTTGCCCATAAAATTTAGCAATAACATTGAAAAGAAGCCTGTCAGTATCCTCTTCCCTACAGGAAATTTTGTTTCCACTATCAATCCTCACCTGCTACACTCTCCGACTAGGGTTCACCACTCTATTATGGAACAGTTTACATCCTGTTCCTTCATCATTGCTGTAAATTTATATCCTGCACATCTCTTCTTCTAGCAAAGATCTTCCCCCCTTTTTCCCCCTTCCTATACCTTTTCTCCCACCCTTGTCCATTAGAATATCATTCTTACTGAGCTTTCCAAACTCCTTGAATTCCTCCGCAAACATAGAAGAAAAACTGGCAAGAATCACCCATCTAAAACCTGCCAACTGAAATAATTTGAAACACAAAAAAGATGCAATAGCGCAATACAAGAAAAGGTGATCAATACTCTTACTTGCACAGCTATACATCACACCCCACTGTAGAGAAATGCAAAGGACATGTCTGCTTCTCTGAAGACGTCATTGATTTCAATCCTACCATGAACTATAGTCATACAGAAATTAGCACCTTAATGGATTACCCTTCCAAATTATCAGCCTTCCATTTACCAATTACCAAGTTTTGTAATGGTTGTATCCTTCTTGAGAATCAACAAACCCACCCTATTGTATCTTGTATCTGATAGATTGGATGACTCTCACGGTTGTACTTGTAAATTAATCAAATTGCAAAACTAACTTGGGAAACGTTCTGTCATATCATCAGACAAACCCCCCCCCCGCGGGCCCTGTCCGGCTGCAAGTAGACTTGTCACAGACTGGATTTTAACTTTAAATACAATTTGAATCTGAATAATAAGAAATGACTTGTATTTACTAGAAATAAGTAGCTACTCATATTTCTATCGGAAAAAGGTAACTACTTGAATTTCTGAGCTGGTATATCTAAGGATGTAAATATACCACTACCCGATCCGTTAGGTGGTGTTTGGCAATGTTTTGTTTTGTTTTCGTTGAGTTCAATTTTTAATTTCTTTTGTTTTGAATTTTATTTTCAGTTTTTGGCATGTAATGGTTCTTTTTTTATCACCAGGGAAAACAAAAATTGACACGCTTGGTTTACTGATTTTACTTTTCTCGCTTATCTATTGTACGCATTTATCTTAGACCACTACCATCCTGTTGTCACCAACACCACCCCACCACAATCACTGTCATCATCATCATCATCATCGCCATCGTCCAACCAGTACCACGCGACTGCCACTGCCACTAACATCACTGATGCCACCACCCTCACCACACAAAACATCGATTTGTTCCCAATCAACTCATGACAATTGTTTTATCTTGATATACATAAACAATATATACAGGGAACTTTATAGTAAGGTAACTATAGTAATATGTTGATTGTTATAATTCCTAACAAAATCTGTTCATCCCTATTGTTTTTGCTTTTTATTACTACTTTTTTGGGGGGTGTAGCATTATATAAGGAGTGTGAGTTTTGTGTGTTTGATCAATGTATTTTTTTTTTTTTATCTATGTGGGTTTCTAAGTGTTTTTCTTATTAGTGTGTATGTGCATGTGTATTTTTATCAGTTTATGTTTGTGTATGGGTGGGTTCTTTGTGTGTATCTTTACAAGGAGTGTTTTTAATCTTTATGTGTATGTAGCGTGTTTAATTTTGTCAATGTGTCTGTTATCTTTTTATCACTATTTATTTGATTATGCGTGTATTTTTATCAATGCTTGTGTGTTTTCAGTGTGGGCATGTATTGTCATTAGTGTGAGTTTTTTTGTTTGTGTTCTAGTGTGTGGGTGTGTGTGATTTTGTGTCTGTTGTTCAAGTATTTTTATTAGTGTGCAATTTCATGTGTTTTAGTTTGTCTTTTTCATGTGTTTGAAACTCTTAAGATATTTTCAGTGTTTTGATATGAAAAACAAAACATTATTGTTTCAGATTTTTTTTAAAAAAAAAAGGAACCCCACTTGTGTACCCTTATCTATAATCAGTCCCAAGACCGGATAAAGCTGGAGCGTCGCATTAGATAGCTGATAGCCGGTGTAAAACTTGTCAAACAAATTAAGAAGATGAATCTAAAGAATATTGTCGTAAATACTAGTATATCCCCCAAAAGTGCTGCATTGCACCTTTACCTGAGTGTTTCCAAAAATGGACAAGAGGCACCGCATTTTAGTTGCTTGAATACAGTGAATAATTGGCAATGGTTCCTATGTCACTCCGGACAATCATGGGTAAAGAAGTTAATCCACGATACTAAACTTAGGTTAGGAACCTGAAATATAAAGACACTAACAGATAAAGGAATGGAACTAGTTGAAACCATGATTAGAAGAAAAATTAATATAACATGTCTACAAAAAACTGAGTGAGTAGGGACTAACATAAGGGAAGTAGAAAATACAAGTTATGATTCTTATGAAATTTATTATACTAGACAAGACATAGAAATGGAGATGAATAACAAGAGATTCGCATCTTCAACAGGAAGTGAAAATTGTTCTTAGGAAAGAAAATGGAATAATATTAATTAAACTANAAATACAAGTTATGATTCTTATGAAATTTATTATACTAGACAAGACATAGAAATGGAGACGAATAACAAGAGATTCGCATCTTCAACAGGAAGTGAAAATTGTTCTTAGGAAAGAAAATGGAATAATATTAATTAAACTTNTTATTAGTGTGTATGTGCATGTGTATTTTTATCAGTTTATGTTTGTGTATGGGTGGGTTCTTTGTGTGTATCTTTACAAGGAGTGTTTTTAATCTTTATGTGTATGTAGCGTGTGTAATTTTGTCAATGTGTCTGTTATCTTTTTATCACTATTTATTTGATTATGCGTGTATTTTTATCAATGCTTGTGTGTTTTCAGTGTGGGCATGTATTGTCATTAGTGTGAGTTTTTTTGTTTGTGTTCTAGTGTGTGGGTGTGTGTGATTTTGTGTCTGTTGTTCAAGTATTTTTATTAGTGTGCAATTTCATGTGTTTTAGTTTGTCTTTTTCATGTGTTTGAAACTCTTAAGATATTTTCAGTGTTTTGATATGAAAAACAAAACATTATTGTTTCAGTTTTTTTTTAAAAAAAAAAGGAACCCCACTTGTGTACCCTTATCTATAATCAGTCCCAAGACCGGATAAAGCTGGAGCGTCGCATTAGATAGCTGATAGCCGGTGTAAAACTTGTCAAACAAATTAAGAAGATGAATCTAAAGAATATTGTCGTAAATACTAGTATATCCCCCAAAAGTGCTGCATTGCACCTTTACCTGAGTGTTTCCAAAAATGGACAAGAGGCACCGCATTTTAGTTGCTTGAATACAGTGAATAATTGGCAATGGTTCCTATGTCACTCCGGACAATCATGGGTAAAGAAGTTAATCCACGATACTAAACTTAGGTTAGGAACCTGAAATATAAAGACACTAACAGATAAAGGAATGGAACTAGTTGAAACCATGATTAGAAGAAAAATTAATATAACATGTCTACAAAAAACTGAGTGAGTAGGGACTAACATAAGGGAAGTAGAAAATACAAGTTATGATTCTTATGAAATTTATTATACTAGACAAGACATAGAAATGGAGACGAATAACAAGAGATTCGCATCTTCAACAGGAAGTGAAAATTGTTCTTAGGAAAGAAAATGGAATAATATTAATTAAACTTCTAATAGGGGGAAGTATAAGGGATATTATTAGTGTATGTGATGCAAATCGTGTGCACATGTGTATATAAACATTATTTGGTTAAGGGTACTTCTGTCATTTCAAGTTTTAATCCCAGAATGGCCTAGCAGTACCTAAGTGAGGGCTTTTATCGTCTTTTGGGGTGGTTGGCAAGAGAAAGTTACATGTTTGGAGTGTTTTGGAAATATCTAGTTCTTTTGGGGTTTATGTGCAAAGTGTTGTAGTGGCTTCCTTTAGAAGCTTTGGGGTATGTACAAGGAGTGATCAACCAGTTTTCTAACACTTTCTCTTTGAGAGGAGAATTCCTGCAGAGAGCTTCAGCTCCAAACAAGCTAGGGTTTTCAAGATTTGGAGGCTAGGATTTTGAGGGTTCGTCCCCGCAGCGCCTACCAGTCCCTTTGTTGCTGTTATACACGCATAAGCTTATAGCAAAAAAGACCGCAGATTCTGCTTCGTTTCAGTCCAGAAAAGTTCCAGGTATTTTACATAGTTTAAGGAGAATACATCACCTTTGTTGCTTTTATTTTGATTCTAGTGGTTATTTCACGATGGAAGAACTTATTTTTATGTTTTTCTGAGATCTTCAGCACTATAATATCTATAAAATTGTACTGTTACTGCACCAAATTGCATTGGTATCAGAGCCTTGTTCTTCGCTTGGATTCCTTCTTGTTTCTGTTTTGGCTTTTGAGTATTTTAAAGTTGTGCAAAGAAAATATGGTCACACGAGGTGGAACAAGCTGTGGTCCTAGGGAGGGATATGTAACTATTGAAATGTTTGAAGCGTTGCAGGAACAAATTCAAAATCTTGCTCAGCTGGTTATGCAAGCAACTAACAATTGTCATCGTCATCATGGGGATGAAAGCAACCATGAATCTGGTTGCATTAGGTAGGTTGAGAATGAGCTCAATGACTTGTCTGGTGGAGAAAGTGATAGTTCTAGTAAAGGAAGAGGGTCCAATCAAGAGAGAGCTGTGAGATGCAATGTAAGACCTCAACAGTGGGAAGATCCCATTGTACGTGCTCTTGAGTGGTACCATACATCTAAAAAAGCGGGAAAACAATGGAAAAACCTCTGATTCGACCCGCATAATCAAGAAAGAAATANATCTTGCTCAGCTGGTTATGCAAGCAACTAACAATTGTCATCGTCATCATGGGGATGAAAGCAACCATGAATCTGGTTGCATTAGGTAGGTTGAGAATGAGCTCAATGACTTGTCTGGTGGAGAAAGTGATAGTTCTAGTAAAGGAAGAGGGTCCAATCAAGAGAGAGCTGTGAGATGCAATGTAAGACCTCAACAGTGGGAAGATCCCATTGTACGTGCTCTTGAGTGGTACCATACATCTAAAAAAGCGGGGAAACAATGGAAAAACCTCTGATTCGACCCGCATAATCGAGAAAGAAAGCGAAAAAAAGATGCTAAATGAGAGGGATTTTATTGAAAAAAAAGAAGAAAACAACTGATATGCCAAAGACTCATACTACATATAGCTTACAAAATCCCAAAGAGTATGGTATGTAGGTTCAAATCTCCGAGTTTGATGGAGATGGAGCCAGATGCATTTTTGAATTGGATGGATAGTATTAAAAACTATTTTGATTGGAAAGGCATGCCCAAAGAAAGAAAAGTGGAGCTTGTTGGAGCAAAACTAAAGGGTCCAGCTTCTACAGGGTGAAAACAATATCAAAATGAACGAGAAGTAAGTGAGAAAGGAAAGGTTAGACGATAGAAGAAAATTAAAGAGAAACTGGAAAGCCCAATTCTTGCCTCGTGATTATGAGCAAACTTTATACCAAAGGGTACAAAACCTAAGGCAGTATGAGAACACGGTGAAAGAGTATACTAAAGAGTTCATCCTCACTTCCCAACTCAAATGATTTCATGTGGCAGATCAAAGAGGGTGGAATTTTGTATGCTCTTATTGAGAAAGAGGAACAACAGCCACAAATGGTGCCACAATGTGTGAGGGAGTTGCTAGATGAATATAGAGATATGATGCCTGAAGAGTTGTCTGATGGGCTGCCCCCTTTGAGAGAGAAAAAACATCACATTGATTTGGTGTCTAGAGCAACTCCACTACCTAATCTACCACACTATCGGATGAGTCCAAAAGAACATGAAGAGCTTAAGAGGCAGGTTCTAGAACTACTAAGAAGATAGGTTATCCAAGAATCTTTTAGTCCATGTGTTGTACCAGCTTTGCTCACTCCAAAGACGGATTTTACTTGGAGGATTTGTGTGGACAACAGGGCTATTAACAAGATAATCATAAAGTACCGGTTTCCAATACCTCGGTTGGATATTTTGGATATGCTCTCAGGTCTGCAAATCTATTCCAAGATTGATTTGGAGAGTGGCCATCACCAAATTAGAATCTGAGAAGGGGATGAGTGGAAAACGACATTTAACACCTAGGAGGGATTGTATGAATGGTTGGTCAAGTTATTTGGGTTATCTAATGCACCTAGTACATTCATGAGTTTTATTAATCAGGTGTTGAAATGAATCACTGGAAAGTTTGTTGTTCTGTACTTTGATGATATCTTGGTGTATAGTAAAGATAAAGAGGCGCATGTTGAATATCTAAGGGCTGCTTTGCACATTTTGAGACAAAATCAATTGTATGTTAATACAAAAAAGTGCAGATTTATGGTGGACAGTTTAGAGTTTTTGCGCTTCGTTGTCTCACCCAAGGTATAGAAGTTGATCCGATCAAGATTCAAGCCATTACAAGCTGGCCAACACCAAAGACCTTAACAGAGGTAAGAAGTTTTCTTGGATTGGTTATTTTTACATAAGATTCATTAAGAACTTCAGCACTATATAATCACTCCGATTACAAAATATCTCAACAGTGGAAGGTTTAGTTGGAGTTCCAAAGCTGAAACAAGTTTTCAAGAGATAAAGAAGATGATGACACAAGCTCCAGTACTTGCACTACAAGATTTTGATAAACTCTTTGAAGTGGAAGTGGATTGTGATGCATCAAAGATTGAAATTGGGGCTGTTTTAACTCAAGAAGGGCGTCTGGTAGCATATTTCAGCAAAAAACTCTATGGAGCTCAACAAAATTACTCAATTTATGACCTTGAGTTTTATGCTATCATGCAAGGCTTGAAGTTTTGGCGACATTATTTGATCCAAAAGTAGTTCATTTTGCATTCAGATCATGAAGCTTTGTGTTATTTCAAGTCACAAAAGAAGCTAAGTAGCCATCATGCAAAATGGATGGCATTTCTGCNGGTCTGCAAATCTATTCCAAGATTGATTTGGAGAGTGGCCATCACCAAATTAGAATCCGAGAAGGGGACGAATGGAAAACGACATTTAACACCANGGTCTGCAAATCTATTCCAAGATTGATTTGGAGAGTGGCCATCACCAAATTAGAATCTGAGAAGGGGATGAGTGGAAAACGACATTTAACACCAAGGAGGGATTGTATGAATGGTTGGTCAAGTTATTTGGGTTATCTAATGCACCTAGTACATTCATGAGTTTTATTAATCAGGTGTTGAAATGAATCACTGGAAAGTTTGTTGTTCTGTACTTTGATGATATCTTGGTGTATAGTAAAGATAAAGAGGCACATGTTGAATATCTAAGGGCTGCTTTGCACATTTTGAGACAAAATCAATTGTATGTTAATACAAAAAAGTGCAGATTTATGGTGGACAGTTTAGAGTTTTTGCGCTTCGTTGTCTCACCCAAGGTATAGAAGTTGATCTGATCAAGATTCAAGCCATTACAAGCTGGCCAACACCAAAGACCTTAACAGAGTTAAGAAGTTTTCTTGGATTGGTTATCNATCGGGATACAAAGTTTCTTAGCTATTTTTGGAAGACTGAAAATTAATGCAAACTAAATTGCAATATAGCAGTGCATATCATCCCCAAACAGATGGCCAAACAGAAGTAGTGAATAGAAACTTGGGAAATCTGTTGCGACGCCTTGCACGAGACACAACACCGGTCCAATAGGGGAGGAAAAAAGGTGTGGGCCTTGGGCTCCAGCTATAAAAGAGGCCTCATAATTTATATGTCCATAGTCTAGTTGAGGCCCAAACTCTAAATTCATAATATTCAAAGTCATTACCCAAGGAACCTTATAAAGCTTAAGCCCAATAGGAAAATTCTATGTTAAATGGTCTAGAACCCATCAATAAATCAACCCACAAAATTCAAAATCAATATCTTTACCCTCGTCCTAGTGCTTCACAAAATCNGATCCAAAAGTAGTTCATTTTGCATTCAGATCATGAAGCTTTGTGTTATTTCAAGTCGCAAAAGAAGCTAAGTAGCCATCATGCAAAATGGATGGCATTTCTGGTAGAGTACACATTTTCTCTATGACACAAGGTTCGTTTCCAAACCAAAATGGCTGATGCTTTGAGTAGAAGAGTTTATTTGTTCAAGACTCTGTCTATTGGTGTAGTTGGGCTGGAAGTGATCAAGGAGCAATACAAGGAAGACCCATATTTCCAAGAAAAACTTGAAAAGCATGCAGCCCAAGACAACAAGGTATTTGTAGAATTTGTTGTTAATGATGGTTGGTTGTTTAAGAGTGTCAAGTTATACATTCCTAAAGGCTCCTTAAGAGAATTTCTAATTGCAAGGAGGAGGTCATTTTGTTAGGGAAAAGATGCTCTATTTGGTGGCGGAAAGGTACTTTTGACCTAGCTTGAAACGAGATGTATATAAACATGTTGATATATGTATGTCAAATTTCTTAAGGTCAGAAACAAAAAAAAATGGATTATATGCTCCTTTACCAATTCCCACAGCTCCAAGGGTTGAGGTTAGCAAGGACTTTGTGTTGGGTTTACTATGGACAGCAAGGAGAGTTGATTCGATTTTTGCTTTTGTTGATCGTTTCTCGAAGATGGCACATTTCTTTGCGAAGATGTTGAATGCAACTAATGCGGCAAGTCTTTTCTTTCAGGAAGTCGTTAGACTACATGGTGTGTCAAAGACTATTACATCCAATCGGGATACAAAGTTTCTTAGCTATTTTTGGAAGACTGAAAATTAATGCAAACTAAATTGCAATATAGCAGTGCATATCATCCCCAAACAGATGGCCAAACAGAAGTAGTGAATAGAAACTTGGGAAATCTGTTGCGACGCCTTGCACGAGACACAACACCGGTCCAATAGGGGAGGAAAAAAGGTGTGGGCCTTGGGCTCCAGCTATAAAAGAGGCCTCATAATTTATATGTCCATAGTCTAGTTGAGGCCCAAACTCTAAATTCATAATATTCAAAGTCATTACCCAAGGAACCTTATAAAGCTTAAGCCCAATAGGAAAATTCTATGTTAAATGGTCTAGAACCCATCAATAAATCAACCCACAAAATTCAAAATCAATATCTTTACCCTCGTCCTAGTGCTTCACAAAATCCATATCTTCAAACCTACCTAAAAATAGCCCACTCAAATTTTAATTTTTTAAAGTAACACTGATAAATTAAATTTTATTGTTNTCCATATCTTCAAACCTACCTAAAAATAGCCCACTCAAATTTTAATTTTTTAAAGTATCACNAGCAATACAAGGAAGACCCATATTTCCAAGAAAAACTTGAAAAGCATGCAGCCCAAGACAACAAGGTATTTGTAGAATTTGTTGTTAATGATGGTTGGTTGTTTAAGGGTGTCAAGTTATACATTCCTAAAGGCTCCTTAAGAGAATTTCTAATTGCAAGGAGGAGGTCATTTTGTTAGGGAAAAGATGCTCTATTTGGTGGCGGAAAGGTACTTTTGACCTAGCTTGAAACGAGATGTATATAAACATGTTGATATATGTATGTCAAATTTCTTAAGGTCAGAAACAAAAAAAAATGGATTATATGCTCCTTTACCAATTCCCACAGCTCCAAGGGTTGAGGTTAGCAAGGACTTTGTGTTGGGTTTACTATGGACAGCAAGGAGAGTTGATTCGATTTTTGCTTTTGTTGATCGTTTCTCGAAGATGGCACATTTCTTTGCGAAGATGTTGAATGCAACTAATGCGGCAAGTCTTTTCTTTCAGGAAGTCGTTAGACTACATGGTGTGTCAAAGACTATTACATCCAAANGAAAAGATGCTCTATTTGGTGGCGGAAAGGTACTTTTGACCTAGCTTGAAACGAGATGTATATAAACATGTTGATATATGTATGTCAAATTTCTTAAGGTCAGAAACAAAAAAAAATGGATTATATGCTCCTTTACCAATTCCCACAGCTCCAAGGGTTGAGGTTAGCAAGGACTTTGTGTTGGGTTTACTATGGACAGCAAGGAGAGTTGATTCGATTTTTGTTTTTGTTGATCGTTTCTTGAAGATGGCACATTTCTTTGCGAAGATGTTGAATGCAACTAATGCGGCAAGTCTTTTCTTTCAGGAAGTGGTTAGACTACATGGTGTGTCAAAGACTATTACATCCAATCGGGATACAAAGTTTCTTAGCTATTTTTGGAAGACTGAAAATTAATGCAAACTAAATTGCAATATAGCAGTGCATATCATCCCCAAACAGATGGCCAAACAGAAGTAGTGAATAGAAACTTGGGAAATCTGTTGCGACGCCTTGCACGAGACACAACACCGGTCCAATAGGGGAGGAAAAAAGGTGTGGGCCTTGGGCTCCAGCTATAAAAGAGGCCTCATAATTTATATGTCCATAGTCTAGTTGAGGCCCAAACTCTAAATTCATAATATTCAAAGTCATTACCCAAGGAACCTTATAAAGCTTAAGCCCAATAGGAAAATTCTATGTTAAATGGTCTAGAACCCATCAATAAATCAACCCACAAAATTCAAAATCAATATCTTTACCCTCGTCCTAGTGCTTCACAAAATCCATATCTTCAAACCTACCTAAAAATAGCCCACTCAAATTTTAATTTTTTAAAGTAACACTGATAAATTAAATTTTATTGTTGTTTCATATTTTCAGAGCTTTTGTTTAAATTCAAGCTTTTTTTATTATTATAGATCCTTTTTGATCATATGTATTTATTTTGATTATATATTATGGAGAACCAGCCAGATAAAAAAAACTTAAAAATTAAAAAAATTAAAAAACTAATTGTGCCTCAAAAAAAATCTTTTGATAAATTTATTACATGTATCAAACAAAAAGATATGTTTGTAATTGATAACATATGATAGCAAAATTTGAGAATACAATAATTTGATTAAGAATATGTGTTTGAACAAGCGAGAATTATTTTTCTTTTTAAAAAACAATTGTAGTAATATTAAAAAAAAACGAAAGACTGTTCAGATTTGCCGCTTTAGGCCTCAAAATGTGTCGGGCCGCCCTGATGGGACAATATTAGACAATGGGATTTGATCTTGCCACAAGCTGAATTTTCTTATAACCCACTGTGAATAGGTCTACTGGTAAGAGCCTTCCTCAAATAGTGTATAGAAGGACCTTGAATATTCTAGGGATGTCATTATTGTAGTGATAGATTGTGTTCCTTTTAATGGGCCGTTTACTCGGTAAAATTTTAACAATATCGTTTGCATATAGAGTTAGATTCTAATTAATACACACTTTAAACAAAAACAGAACTTGCAAAATCTTCATCCACCGTTATTTTTATGATTACTAGTATAATTTTTACCGTGGCTCAACTTCTTTCTTTTGGGCAACAGGGCAGAAAACTAAGATGAGGGTCAAACACAATACCACCTGGCCTACCAGGTCGGTGGATTGAGTTGTTCATGGTGACGATAGTGATTACAGACATCTCATTATCTCTTCAATATGCAGAATCAGCTGCATGCACCATATGAAAGCTAAAAAAATTAGCTAATAACAGAAATTAGAAGTATGGGAAATCCTCTTACTGTGGTGTATTAAGTTGGCTGGCAGCCCGAACTAATTGCTGAAACATTTTTCTTTCATTTATAGGGTCCATTCCTGTGGGCAAAAAAGGAAAACAGTAATATCTTCTGCACAATGCATATATCATTGCAACAAGAAAGCTGTGGTCGATTTAGGCTAACCAACCTTGATTTATCTCATCAACCACCCTAAATGGGCAGTTTGTGAGATCTTGTAGGGAAACTAGGTACAGAATGGTTGATACCGAACGTTCCTGGCACATATCAATTTCAAGATGCTGTGAGATATATAAAACAGCCACAAGTGCAAGAAAAAAATACATGAGTGCAGTTTACTGTTATACCCCTCCGGATTGGTGGTGGGCACTTAGAACTTGAAGTTGTCCTGCTTGCCTGATCACAGCACAAAACCAAATAAAATTGTAGAAGACACAATAAAAAAACACAAGAAATAGTAAGCGAGGCCAGTAAAATAGGTCCCATATGGGCAGAATAAAAATTACCAATTAACTGATTGCAAATGAAAAACTAAACACTAGCCAGAATATTCAATTCATCCCCCTTGAATACCATGAATTTCAAACTCACACCTCACATCCAGATTTTGTCCAAGTGAAAAGGCAATTCAACAATCAGGCTATGGCGGGAGATCAACATACCAACAGGCACATACAGCTGCAAACACAGCCAATTAAAAGGAAATGTGTCCACTAGAAGACATCTGTTTCCAAAGAAAGCCGAGTGGAATTAAGGGATCCATTGAACTGTATGTTGTTTGAATTGTTAGGTTACTGCTTCAAATCCTGACATCTCAGAACCACCACCATCAAAACTGTCCCATCTCACTAGCATGGCAGCATCTTTCTTGTGCAGAAGCATGCATTTGTACATAGTCTGCCAGTAATGAATCTCGAGGAAAATTGCAATGAAACCTAATTCTCAAATCAGCATCAATTAGTAATATGTAGTAGTAATTTTGGTATTTCATTTGAGCGTGGTCAGTAGGACCGATTATTTTCTAATGAAGCTCACTTAAGGAATTTTTAGGAGATTTTAATTTATTTCCTAATTTAACTAGGAAACTCCTTTCTTTTAATCCCTTATATATATTAGTTAGGATTTTATTTTATTGTGTTTTCAAATTAATTATGATTCTAGTTTTCTCTTTTTATTACGACTCTAGCATTATAAATTGCCAACTATGTAACCTATTGGAGAAGCTTTTTTTTATGGCAATTCATCTTATCTACAGTCAGAAATTGATTGGGATTTACCCCCAACATTCAATGAATGTTCGGATGATGATGATTCTCTAATCCCTATTAAAGATGGTTGTGATTTCCCAATATATGATGAGTATCCAGATTATGGTTTTCAAATCCCTCCCAACTGTGTTAACGACGTCAAGGGGACAACTGCCCAAGTCGATTCAATAAAGGATGGTCCTGTGGAATTGGTTTCATCTTGGGAACCAAGTATTAAAATCAATTTGGTTAATGATTTTACTAGATGCATCCAGAATGTTATTCTTCTAAATATTTCTCCCCACTTGAATGTCAAAGTTAGTGTAGGAAACCATTGTCCAGCCCAAGAAATTAAATTTCATTTCAAAACGTCTGAAACATTTCCATTTCCATGGAAACCGAAACGAATCATTGATTGAATATCAAAATTCCTATGTTTTGAGGCGTTTCGGCAGATTTTGAGATGTTTCGGTGGGGTTTCGAGGTCTTTCGGTGGATTTTGAACTATGTTTCAGAATGTTTCAATTTTTCAACCAATGTTTCAAAAATGAATTTTTAAGGGGATGTTTGTTTGATTTTTTTGTTTCTTATTTTGTGTCTTTGTTTTTAATTTTTGCCAAAAAAAATAAACATATTTGATAATTATTTTTGTTTTTGTTTATGTTTAACCTCAGTTGTCTTAGAAACAAGCCAAAAAAATGGGAACAAAAAAAAAAGATGTTCCAAGAAACACTAAAAACAGAGACAAGAAGCGCAAAAGGGTGAGAAATTAATGAGATCCAGACTTCAACTCCTCTTAACAACAAAACAAAGCTTTTTTTTATTGAAGTATAAAAACACATTTCATCCCTCTTTCCTCCCCATCGATNTTTTTAATTTTTGCCAAAAAAAATAAACATATTTGATAATTATTTTTGTTTTTGTTTTTGTTTAACCTCAGTTGTCTTAGAAACAAGCCAACAAAATGGGAACAAAAAAAAAGATGTTCCAAGAAACACTAAAAACAGAGACAAGAAGCGCAAAAGGGTGAGAAATTAATGAGATTCAGACTTCAACTCCTCTTAACAACAAAACAAAGCTTTTTTTTATTGAAGTATAAAAACACATTTCATCCCTCTTTCCCCCCATCGATTCTCTCTCTCTCTCTCTCCCTCCTCTCTCCTTTCTCTGTATCAGACCACCAGACGAATCGCTGGCCCGTTACCCACCTCCATCGCTGCCTCACCCACAAGACAATGCGCTCTCTCTCTATCTCGCTCTCGTTCTCTGTGAAACCCAGAAGATCTGTGCATATANCACCATGACTACCATCTCACTTGATAAGCAATTTTCATGTCTAACTTTCTTTGGTGCATTTGTTAGGCTTGATCGGCAGCAAGTTTACAAAGCAAACACAAGGTTTGCTAGAGGAATTTGAACGTTGAAGAAAATGTGCCTGTGTTCGATAATCATGCAAGAGAAAGAATTACCTCTTAGGCATGCAACTTGGTCAAGTTCAAAGCACCGNTATACACAGATCTGTGATCGGGTGTGTGTTGTGTTGAGTCTATGTATGTGTGTGTGTATGCGTTTGTTGTGTTCATTCTCTCAGNTATACACAGATCTGTGATCGGGTGTGTGTTGTGTTGAGTCTATGTATGTGTGTGTGTGTATGCGTTTGTTGTGTTCATTCTCTCAGTGTGTGTATTGTGTTCTCTGTGTGTGTTGCGTTTGGGATTGATTGTCATTTGGTATTAATTGAATTGTTATTTAGAATTGTTGAATTGTCATTTAGGATTAATTGAATTGTCATTTGGGATTAAATTATCATTTGGAATTGATTGAATTGCCATTTGGGATTGTTGAATTGCCATTTGGGATTGAATTGTCAANGTACTTTAAGAAAGGGTAGTTAGATAAAACTATTGGTTGTGGGATCCTACTTCCACTCAAAACCCCAATCTTTTGACTCTATAGTGTACCCTTCTCATTCATGCAAATCCCAACCTGGCTGTAACATCCTTCAACGTTAGCAAGTTTGANCTTTGGTGCCTTTGTTAGGCTTGATCGGCAGCAAGTTTACAAAGCAAACACAAGGTTTGCTAGAGGAATTTGAACGTTGAAGAAAATGTCCCCGTGTTCGATAATCATGCAAGAGAAAGAATTACCTCTTAGGCATGCAACTTGGTCAAGTTCAAAGCACCAAACTCAAAACCTGCTCAAACTTTGGATAGCTGAGCAAACATTTTTGTTTTTGATTTTATTTTTTCCAGTTTTTCAAAACTCGAGTTGTACTATTGTTGAAACTCAACCTGACCCATTATAAGTTGATTTAGGTTAAGAAAAATAAAGACCTAACCCGAACTATATTCATGCACACATTATACTGACTATAGTTTGATGGGATTTCCTTCGTTATTCATCTCATTGGTACTTTAAGAAAGGGTAGTTAGATAAAACTATTGGTTGTGGGATCCTACTTCCACTTAAAACCCCAATCTTTTGACACTATAGTGTACCCTTCTCATTCATGCAAATCCCAACCTGGCTGTAACATCCTTCAACGTTAGCAAGTTTGGCTTTCTATCAGTCATTCTTATTTGATGCTCACCTCTATAAATAGTTATTTATTTTTCTGATCAACCATATTTTTCCCCGCATTTTTCTGTCCCATATTCTTAAATTTTAACCTTCTCAGAATATAGCCATGATAGTATAATTCTTATGCTCTTCAATTACAAATATGAAAGAAGAGAGATGGAGAGAGTTCGGACTACTCTGGTTCATTATTTTAACTGAAGAATGGTGATTCCTCAAAGAGATTAACCCAAGCCTAGCATGAGTTCAATAGTTTAAATTAGGATTAAGCTTTCTCAGCCCAGCTTTTAGATTTCAATAAGCTGTTCTGAGATGTTTTCACAAAAAAGAGAGGTTTACTGCAGCTTAATATGCTGCTTTTGGAAAGCTGGTCATGACCTGCAACAAAAATGACCAAGGCCTGCCTGTACTGGGCTCCAAATGGTATGGTTATCACCTTAAGAACCCTTCATATGCCACCTTGACAAATATGGTTGCGTGGCTGACAGTGCTTTATTCAAGTCATAAGTCAAGGCCAATGCTAATATCACTTTTTTATAATNAAAGAGATTAACCCAAGCCTAGCATGAGTTCAATAGTTTAAATTAGGATTAAGCTTTCTCAGCCCAGCTTTTAGATTTCAATAAGCTGTTCTGAGATGTTTTCACAAAAAAGAGAGGTTTACTGCAGCTTAATATGCTGCTTTTGGAAAGCTGGTCATGACCTGCAACAAAAATGACCAAGGCCTGCCTGTACTGGGCTCCAAATGGTATGGTTATCACCTTAAGAACCCTTCATATGCCACCTTGACACATATGGTTGCGTGGCTGACAGTGCTTTATTCAAGTCATAAGTCAAGGCCAATGCTAATATCACTTTTTTATAACAGAATGAACTATTAGGTGTTAGTAAGAAGCCCAACTGATTATTCCTAGCTGTCATGAGGCCACATATGGTTTGTAAGTGAAAAGAACAACTAGTAAAGCTCTTAAATATTTCTTCATAGTGGCACTTGATGCAGTTGTTAGGGATAAGCGCTACTCAGATCATCGTTTAATTGAGGTTTTTCTTTTCTTTTCTTCTCTTTTTTTTTTTTTTTTTT